AAGAAGTGAAAATAAATAAATTTTACTCAATTTTGAACAGTTTTGGGGGTTTGTGTGTAAATCATGTTACAATATGAAGCTTTATATATATCACAAACGCTTTAAAGCTCTGCAAGAGATCGTAGTATTTACAGAACGTAAGTGAATTTTCGTAACACTCTTGACAAACGATTCAGGGTCGAAATTTATTTCTGTGAATTGTTCCAATTGAGCCAAAAACCAAGAAACTCCTTTTTTGCCTTTTCTCGCACATGGCAAGAAAGATTTATTCCAAAACATTTATAACCTTAAAGAACCCGACTGAGTGATCATTCACTTGAATAGCGTTTAACAACAATCCCCCGTCTTTCCATCCTTTATCTCCCTTCTCATTCACTTCCTCCACTTTACTCTTCAACTGCCTTTCATCATTCATGAACTTGAGCTAGAAAAAGAAAAAACAAAGATGGAGAAGATTTCTTTATCAACTCTCAAAATATTTATTTATGGCCCTTGACTCGACTACATTTCTCGATTCATCCGAGCTGACAATTTGTTTGTCGGTTGTTGTATCAAAAATATATTTAAGTTGAACTAAGGGAGCAAGCATCAAGAAAAGTTGCAGTTTACGACATCGAAAGAACCCAATTTTCCATATTTTACATCCAAAACGAGTTGATAAAGTTTTTACACCTTTTGTGGATTCATTTGAGAAAATTTCGCCTGCTTGTGCTTTGGCTGTTTGTTGTCATGTCTTTTTCTTCTGTTTTGGTGTCGACACTTTTACTTTTCGTTTTTCCTTCTTCAACAACTTTACTGCTGTTGCTACTGCTACTGGTGCTGCATTGTCTCAATGGATCATATATTTTGACAATATAAATTTTTATGGCGATAAATTATGTTTTTCTTTCGGCAGTGCTTACGACACTCAAGGAGCTGTTTAATTTTTAATGTCACTTTTATAATCAACATTTTTTGGCACCGGCTCAACTTTAAAACTCTTTCACCTATTTCGTTTGATAACGATTGATGAATGATGGTGGAGGAGAAAAGATTAAAGAAAAAAGTTTCGAATCAGCAAGATGAAAAACATTTGTGGCATTATTGATTTTTGTTATGATTTGGAGATGAGTTTTTTTTTCAGCACGAACAGCAGCAGTAGTAGCACCAACAACAGCAGCAGCAAAGGAGTAGCAGCTTTTATGGCAAACGCTCACGAAGTCGCTTAATAAATTTGGGGTTCTTGGGAAGAAAGTTTAAATGGCGTTCGCGACAGTAAAAAATTTTCCTTCAACATAAATCAACGAAAAGTGTTGAAGAAACTTCCGCTTTCCATGGTAAAATGTACTTAAAACGAGGACAAAGCGAAATTATTTCACGAGATTCCAATGAAGTCTCTTTGTAGTGTGAAGACAGAAAGAAGAAAAATAATTTTCTTATTCGCTCGTTAAATAATATTTACGGTTATTGCTGCTTTCTCAACTATCAAAGCAATGTTTAAAAGCTCAAAGCGAGCAGCGATAAAACAGTCTGGTGACTCGGCAATCAGACGAAATCCTTTCGACTCTCTGTTTAGGGCGGAAAGCGGAAAAAGGAAAACTTTTTTCCAGCCGTTCATTCCGAGAGTTTCACTCATCGACCAAGCCATCAATTGAACGCCCAAAGATTTTATTTGTGGCCGAAATCAGAAGAAAAAGGAAAGTAAAGTGAAGAAAACTCTAAGGCGAAATATTTGGCGTAAGCAAAAAAGCATTTTAATAAGTTTAGTTGAGCAGAAGTGGGAAAATAGAATTAATTAGGAGTTTGAAAAGTTTTCCATTTCGTTTTGTTATGTTTTTTGCTTCGTTCACACAACTCGTTCGCTTGCTTACTTACTCAAGGGAAAGAAAAACATTTTCCAAACCCTTTAGCATGAAGAAGCAGGAAAAGCAACCAAATCCCGGTTACAAAAAAAATCCAAGGCTGAACTGCGTCGATGAAACTGTCATCAATAAATATTCGATCTCGGTTAAATTTCTTATTTATTTTTTGTTTTAAGTTTTCCGCCCTCTTCCGACTCGTATGTTGCCTTTGAACGTCGATTCATTCCATCGATTTTATTCTATCATCTAAAAGGGAGAAAAAAGACAAAGTTTTCCATCTTTTTCTGGTTTCTACTTTATTTTTTATTTTATTTTCAGTCAGATAATGTAAATAAAAAAACCTGCTGAAGAAATGGAAAACTTCTGGTTTAACTCTGAAAATCCCCAAAGAAGTTTCGTGCTTTTTGAAAGGGAGAAATTCAATTTATGAAAAAATAAATAAAGAACAAAGTTTCTACCTTACCTTGCCTTTGCTTTTGCCTTTGCTGTTACTGTTGCTGTAACTGTCGGTAGTGGTTTGTGTAACCATAATTCAATATTCGCAGCATAAAAGGCAGCAAATTTGCTGACAAAAGTAGAGATTTCTTTCTTCCATTTAGCGTACGTAGTTGATGAAAATTTCAAGCATTTTATTTCGATGGAAGTTTCCCCCACAGTCCATGGACGATGTTTGAGTGTCACAAAAAGACCTGACGCGTAGATCAAACAGAATCACAAGCCGACCCTAAATATGATGGCTTGGAAAATTCATTTCTTGAGCCATTAAATTTTGTTCACTTGGAAGAATTTAATATTCGCCTTGTTCTGATCCCATTCGCCTCTTCGTTCTCCACTTGCCCAACCGACTTAATGTGGCAAGATGAAAATGAATAATTCTCAGTCATTCTTGATAATTTTCCGGTACTTTATATTAGTTTTGATTTCATGCTGCTCTTCTCACATCGTCGTCATCTCTTTGGGGAACAAGTTTCGATGTGTTTGAGACTTGAGAGAGATTTTCTAAAGAAAGAATTTCTTTTACTTCTTAGAAATGACCGACCGCACTTTGTCTACTTTTGCCACCCCCACATCACTACATATTGAATGGTTTTTTGATAACTCTAAGTTCCTTTTCTTCCCAATTCTCTTGGTAGGCCTTTTCTTTCTTTCATGTCAGATTTTTCCGTCTTTCACAATTTCTGCTCAATTACATGTCGGTTTCGGTTCACTTTATTCTCGTTCACATTCAAAATTGTTGTCAATATTACATGGATTGCTTTTATGCCACACATTTTCCGATTTTCCAAGACCCGTTCCACCTTGAGATTCATCGGAAAACGAAGATAAAGATGAAGAGAGTGAGTGAAAAGCATTCTGAATTGTGTACACATAAACACAACAACAACAACCTTCATTCAGCATGCCCAAGCATATTTTGCGATCCAATTTCGTTCCCTACTGAGATTTTTATTTTATGAAGTGCTTTGATAGCACAATTTTTCAGTCGACTCGATCAAAAAGTATTAAATGTGGCATCGTGTCCTTTTCTCCACTTCATCGTCATCTTTCTCGTCATCATTCTCTTCTTATCTAACGTTTACAACTACGAGTCGATCAAAAATGTATGAAATTCATATTTATGATGTTCGAGAAAGAGCCAAACAATAAACATGACATGGAATGTTGTTTGACGTCTTCATCTCTAGATTTTCATGTTTTGATCATGCTTTTAACATTCACCCACCCACTCTCTTCACATTGTTCTTCAATAATTTAAAGCTTCAATGTTTCTTCTTCAATTATTTGTGTTTCTTTCTATGATGCTTGAATGGAAATTCCAGTGATTGTTGCAAACAAGAACATTTTAGGTCAATAACAAAGAAAATCTTTTTCTTCTTTAAATTCATTGATTTTGTTGCTTTGCTTCATTGTTCGCGATACTTTATCTCATTATTTATTGACGTCAGATGGAATGAAAAAGGAAAGATTTTTGTGTTTAAAATAAGTCAGATTTCTTGAGTCAAACAAATAAGAAAAGGTAAAAAATTAAAAATTTGGGTCATCAAATTCATCTTTCAAAGGATTCAGACAAATATGCTTGATGTACTTAATAAATCTTTTGCCAGCAGAAGCTGAAAAAAGATGAAAGTGACTTTCAACCGTTAAAGTCTTCGAAGTCAACAATAAAATTTTCTGTCTTGCTACAAATGAAATTCGTCAAACTTTTCAGACAATTCTCAAATCGTTTGTTTGAAGCGGTTTTTCTTGCTTTAAAACTTCTTTATTGACCGTTTATAGAATTATTTTTCACACTTCAAAACTTCAAATGAAAAGTTGGAAATCGTTTCAAGATTTTCCAAGGCTCACATAATGTGCATTATTTGTGAAATTTTAAACATCAATAAATACATTTATTGGGACTTCTTTAGGTCGCTGCAATTGACTTTTATTTCGCCATAATCTCAACAGCCTCGTCTTCGACAACAGTCGAGGGAGAAATCTTGTTGAATTTGAATGTTCATTCAGCTTTCGATTTAATGTGAGATTCAAAACGAGATGACGATCAACCGAATCAACAAAGAATTCTCCTTCGATTATTCATCGCTTTTCCGTGCTTCTTGTTTTTCCAATTCCCTTGACTATGCTTCTCTCACTTTCTCGCAATATGATGAAGAAGAATGAAATGTCGTATTCAGATATTTATTTTATAATTCATTAAACAAGCGAACACAATCGTCTTTATGTTTATTCATTCAATTTTTACTTCGATTCGTAATCAGCAAATTTTTCTCTTCATTCTTTGCTGCTGTTTTTCATTTTGACTTCATTCGCTGATATTGACGATACTACTGATGTTTTATCACAATCACAACAACAAGATTCAATGCCTTCGAACAATTGAAAATCAATTTTCATTCGTGCTTTCATCAAATGAATTCATAAAGGAGACCGAAAATGAATAAAAAATGAAAATAATGAGACTAACGGCTGCTGTCTGCTGCTTTTCTTATTTTCTTTTATCATCCATGTTATATTTAATTCACGACAATACAGAGATTTGCTGACAATTGAGATATCTCAGATCATTATCTTTTTCTGTAAAGTATTTTCTTTTTCATGTTTTCTCTGGAGTGATAACAAATTATTCTTCTTTTTGCAAATTGCAACAGACAGCAAATTAAAATCAGAGTAAAAAATGAAGAGATAATTGAAGCTGCAGGTTGTCTTAAAGCTAAAAGATTTTTCTAAAGGATTACTGGTCGGATTACTTGTGTGCAATCAGTAAAGAAAAAGTTTGAAACTATCTCATGAAACTTTGTCTGCAATGTGTGATCAATGGTAGCAATCAGCGTCGATTTGAGTTTTGTCGTTCTACCTTTGACATAAATAAATCAAACTTTCTCATGCCTCAAACTCTTTTACTAAAATCTCTAATAAGCTCTTTTTGACACAAACATTTTAAAGCTGAGGTATTTTTGGATGAAGAGTAGTTGTAAACGAACGAAAATATCATTCATGTCGTAACGAGGTAAATCGTGAATCATAATTTACTTTCAAATCCAACCAATCCCACCGACAACGTCGTTAAAGCGCGTATAGACGAACGAATTTCATTAATAACAAATGGCTTTCCGTTTCTCAACGTCGCAGCAATATTCATAATTCTTCTCCACCCCTCATTCGAAACATTTCATGAGTAAAAGATTTTTAATGTTCTTATTTTAAATTGGCATTTATGTGTGTCATGATGTGTATTCATCATTTCGCATCATCATGTCAATACAAGACGAGATAAAGTAGAAAGGAAAATTAAAATTTGAGCAGGAAGAAATGGCAAGGGAGTAAGAAGGAACGAAAAGAAGAAAAAGTGAAGAAGGAAAATCGGAAAAATGTTTACTCGGTGATAAGCAAGAAAGAATTAATGCCCAAAAAATTTTCCCCGATATTTTATTGATTTTCTCGCTCTTTTTTGGTGAGAAAAGCCGATTGATGGTTAGATGTGTGAGTGTTTCATTTGATTGTGTTGAATTTCACACGATGATAAAGATGAGAACTTTCGTGCACACTTCAGTTCTTCAAGTGCCTTCAAAGGAACGTGTGGATTCGTGAATTTGGATTTTCCAATTCAACATTTATTTGTTCATCCATATTTTTTGCGTCGCTTGCTATCGTAAATAATACTTACCCAGAATTGTTGTCGTGTGTACTTTTTCATGGCGAAAGAGAACAACAGTGTTTGGCAACACACAATTTTTCCACTTCGCGACCCTAGAGCCGCTAAATCTGTTATTCTCGTCAATATTTTCCTTGATGAGAATTCAATTAGGATTATATTTACTTGTCGATTAATTTTGCATGTTTTTAAGAGATGATGTAGCGTGGATACAATCCAAGTCTATTACCTTTAATGAATAATATTATTAATATTTTTTTTGTTAATTTTTTATACTTAATTATATTTTAGGCTTATCAACAGCAATGTTTCACAGATTAAAAAGTTCAATTTAAACAAATATTTATACTCTAGAAATTAAATACTTTCATCTTGTTTAACCTTTTAATTGATCATTAAAATGTTCATTATAGAAATAAATATTTTACGACCCAATAAACAACTATAATGAGGCACGTTGAAACTGGAAAATAAGAAATAAATGTAAGATTGTTGAGCGGTAATTGAAAAATAAGTTGTGACTACGATAATTAATTTTTTTCTTATTTTTAACTTTGCTATGTCAACAACTATTCGAGATTTTTTCCTTTGCTATTTATTCAACAAAATTTATTCACAAAGCTCAAACCTTTTTCGCTATTCTATTTTCCTTTCTTTCCAGTTTTCAAAGGATGAGAAAGCTTTTGAATAGAAAAAGAAAAAGAAAATATTTATTTTTCAATAAAATCATTTTAATCGTTTTTGATGATAAGTAAGTAAAATAAATATTCTGTTGATATTAAAATACATTCAAGATTGAGATTATTTATCTTCCGAAGTTATCATAATGACGAAAGCATTGGATGCCATAGATATTAAGTTATTCTATTCAATTTTAAATTCATATTCCAATGTTAAACTATCATCTTACTTCAGTGTATTTTATTTGCTTTGATTGCATTGAAGAACTTTCTGAATGAACAAATATGTATGCTTATTTTTGAATAAGAAGCAAAATAAGAAGAGAAGCTCAAGTCTCTTTGAAACGCTCTAATTCTACTTGAAAATATTTATGTGCACATCAATTCCATTTCAATTGGAAATATTTCCTTTATAGATGAAAACGCTTGAAGAATTCGTTTCAAGTTTCTTCATCTTCTTAGCTCTTTATACATAAATAAATTTTTTCCTGAAATTTTCTCTTTTACCGGCAACAGCAAGAAAATACGACAATGTTGAATCAAAAGATAAGCATCTGTTATAATATTAAACATCCGGTTTCAAATTTCACTTTTCAGACACCCGAGCTTTGCACGATCAGCTTTGATGAGAACAGTGAAAATGTTTATGTATTTTCTTTTTTTTTCTTCTTACCTTTCTGCTGTTACTTCGGCTGTTTCTGCTGCTGGCCAAGAGGCTTAAGGGAGAAAATAAGCTCCATGTTGCTTATCCTATTACCATGTTTACTCTTGTACATGGTAAACTTTGTTGTAAAAGAACGCTCGTTCGTAATTGGGGAATTTACGGTGACGTCAAATTAAAAGACGCTACCACGCAAATCCTCGCTAAAAACGCTGCTAAATTGACAGCAAGTATCGGTGTCATTGGTGTCGATTTTTTAGGCTCATTATTTATGTCAGAAATGGTAATGAAATTTATTGCTGTGTCTCTTCGCACGTCCACCATTTCATCATTTTCATTCATTTACAGATTTATCCAGTCGTAAGACGTAATTTGGTTTTCTTTTTTATCTTTTCTCTTTCTTCACGTCTTTTGTTGTTGGAAAAATAAAATTCTAATGGAATGAGACGTAAAAAATATGTTCACCCACATAATCTGATTTCTCAATTGTGGCAGAACGAAGCCATCGTGTATCGTGATGTTATAGATTGTCGTATCAGTAAAAATGACAAAAGATTTGATTTTGATTTTCAGCCTTTTACTTTTATCTACTGCTTGTTCTTCTCCTGATTCTAGAAAATGCTTAAATCCAGAGTATAATCACCACATTTCTACAGACTGCGCTCAAACTTTAATTCCATTTTAATTTCAACAACAAAATGTTGCCATTCTCTTATTCCTATTTGCTTATTCGATGGAAAAAATTCACATGCTTAAGGCATCTAAATACGACGAATGTTAAAAAAGGAGTAAAAAGCTTTTACAGCAGAAAACGAAAGATAACAAAATTGAGAATCGCCGTCCAATTTACATTATTTTGCTTTTCCTGTTCCATCGAAAACGAAAGAAAAAATCTAATACCGTGCATCAACGAGTTACAATTGAAACGCAATGAAAACAAGAAAAACTTGTATGAGAAAAAGTTTTGTGGGGGTGGAAATCAGAAAACAGGAAAGGAAGCAAAAATGTCCGATAATGAGATTATGATGCGAATACGTTTGTGTGGCTGCTTTCACTTTATTTATGAAGCAATAAATTTATTTATCTCTCTTTGCGAACTGAACGAACAAGAAGCGAGCGGAAGGAGAAAGTTCAGAAGACAAAAATGGAAAATATGGGCCTAAGAATGTTTTGTCAGTGTTATCGATCTTCGAAGCTCTGTTCGAGTGGATTCGAATGACATCGGGAAAAAGCAAAATAATTAAAGATCCATTTCTTCGCTTCCAAAGATTCTTTTTCATTTGAGTTAGGTCACAGTTGTCTTTTCGTTTGCGTGAATTCAACTGAATTTGAGGTAACTTTCAAGCGGCTGCTTCTGCTGCTATTTCTATATTCAGTGATGTTTACTCTAAAAGCGTAAATCAATGTAGAACTTTCTGTTAAGAGAGTTTCAACTTACTCTATTGTTTGAAATGAAGTTAAAGTCTTTTCAATAACAAACAAAACAACAATCGATGCTTCGACCAATTTCAAGCGACGTTGCTGAGAGTTCATCCAAGTGACAATAGAAGTTTCTAATAGAACCTTGATTGGGAACACTCGATAAAGATTCCGTATATGAAAACAGGCTTCATATTTCCCAAAACACACGAAAACTCTTCTAACATTCACATAATGAACTCACTCATGTCGCTTCTGGAAGTGAGATGGAGAACACTCTGCAATTTCCAACCCTGAACAACTCTAATCTCTCTTGTCCAATCTGTATGGTTTCGAATTGTAAATCATGTGGCTATGGAACGATAGAACAATCACACCAAAGCATATTTGATGAGGTTTTGTGTTGGCTATTTCTTCCTTTCACTAAATGTTTAGTTTTTAATGTCGTTGTGTCGTTGCATTAGTAAGAAGCAAATGAAATCTGTTTTTCTTCTGTTTTTCTATGTTTTTTTTAAACATAAAGCAAACATCAAGAATTACCATTGCAAAGAGTTGAAATAAGTGTAAGTAGCGATGAAAACGACGTTGATAATTTACATCATTCCCCATTGCTTGACTCGCGTCACATAGCATTCCGAAATTTCTACACAAATTGCTGTAATCATGCAAAGAAATCGTTCAAAAGTGGGAGAGAACACGAAATAAAATGGAAAAAAAATCTATCTCCAAGCACGAAACAGGTGCTTTTGACTAGAAAAACTGTTTTTATGAGTTGGCCGGGACATGAATTATGTTTGTTATCGTCTCGCACTTTCTGTCGCTCCCTTAATTCGCTTGTTTCAAAAAGAAAAAAAAAGAAAGAAACTTGGAGAACAAACACCAACATACCCTAATGGTTTGGAAGTAAACGGGTAATACTTTTTTATGAAAAAAACATCTCGTTCTTCTTACGCCACTCGCTGATACTTTACTGATTCTTAAATGTGTTTTGTATTTTATTTTCTTCTTACTTTAGTCTTACTTTTTTATGCCTGCATGTGTTTTTCACCTCTTCCACGCGATGAATGTCGCAAACGGCAAGGTAAATGTATACATTTTTATTTCTTTACTTTTCTATAGCGAGGGAAATATAATAAATAATACATAAAAATCTCATGATCTCGTTAGAAAGAAAAGGAGAAAGGAAAAAAAGAGGAAGAAGAAGCAACAGCAGTTATCATGATGTATGCCCATTTCTTCTTTTTCTTTTGTTGTTGCTGAAGGAAAAGTAAAAGAAAAACATTAAAGCATTTTATTTCACATTTTCTTTAACTTCCACGAAGAAAGTTTGGGTTCACTGTGTTTTATGCGTCACATTATGGGTTATTATTTTATAAAAAAACAAATGGAAGTAAATAAAATTTGACAATGATGAAATGACGAAGCGAAATGTCATCAGAGAGAAATCATGATAAGAAAGGTACATGAAGGGTTGTCAACTTATCTTAAAATCTTCAAGTATTTATTTTTAAGAAACATTTTTCTTGGTAAAATTAATCAACTAAAGTAAGTCTGAGTCGTCGTAGATTAAAGGTTACATTTTAACCATAGACAGAGCTTGGAATTCGATCTGATAATCAAGTTCATAAGAATCAGTGAATTGTCACACATTAAAGATTATTTTATCTCTACAAGATGTGAGGATCAGAAGCGAAATGAATGTCAATTCCGAGCCCTAAGCTCGAAGCTTTCTGTGTGACATTTGAAATATTTAGACAGTTGTAGGGTTTTCTGTAATATCAACAGATGTTCGTATCTTTCTTAATTCACCTTTCCATAGAATTTTTCAACTCTTCCATTCAAATGAGAAGGAGAAAGATGTAAAAGTAAAAATAAAAAGTAAAGACTAATATCACATGACGCGACGTAATTCTCACAACAACCCTATTCAAAGAAACTTTTTTCTTCTAAACTTTTCAAGCATATACACAGAGAGATAATTGAATGAACATAAAAATTTAAACTTATTGCGATAACATGCTTCTTCTGCATTTCTCGTTTGAAAGAGATTATGTCTAAGGCAGACAACCGTGATAGATGCTTGATGAGATTACGCAAATGCTATTGATGTTAACGAGCAAGCAAGAGTTGTAGAGCTTGATATATTCGCATAAAAAAGAAGAGAAAGAAAACGACTAGAACCTTTTATTGAGTACTTCCATCAAAGCAAAGCTATTTATTCTTTGCCTTCGTGCTTCGTTTTTTCTCTTCAATCTTCCATTTCTACTCAAACATATTTTTGTTCAGATCGATCGATTTACGGTAGAAAAATCAAAAGTAAAAGATAAAGGATAACGTACCAGAAAATCATTTGTTTTTGCACACAGAAAACAATGAACAAGAAAAAAAAAAAGAAAGAAGAGTGAAGCGATTGTGAAAAGCGCTATAAGAGGATTGCACAGTCAATAAATTTGCCAATAGCAGCAAGTTGTGTAAGAGGCATTTGATGATGAAAACTGCTCTGCAGAGGAGAATCAATGATTTGTAATACGATCATCAAACATAATAGATGTTCATTGTGCTTTTTGTTGTTTCAGCTTCATTTCATTTCCATTTGTGTAATATAAACACAAACAGTCGACCGAGAAGCTTTACTTACACGCGAACAGAGGTTGCGAAAGCTTCACAAGAATGTCTCGAATGCGTATCAGCAAAAATATTTCATGTTTCTCTCATGCACTCGACATATCTGAAATCGTAATGCGATGCTTATGAACAGCATCCATTCAGCTGAGGGGGATGAACAAATGGAAATTTCAAAAACAGGCAGTTATCCGGAGAGAAATAAATGTAAATTTATCGTAAAATTATAATTTTCATGGCTAAACGAATTATAATTCTTCGTGGTAAGCGCAATAACAATTATAATGCTTTTGTGGGATTTACTAATGCGAAACACTCGTGAATGTGTGGGAGCGGAGAGTTTGCATGTGGCAGTGAATTTCATAGATTGCTCGTTATTTCTTTTTTTTCCTCGCTTTCACCAAATCGATATTTCAAATGTGTTATGATTGTTTAATCCCGAATTTATATAATCGAGAATGGTGTGGAATGTATGCATACTAAGGAGAAATATTTGATAAACATTCACTGTATGTTTATCAATATAAATTTTGATGGCATTTATATATTGTGTATGTTTGGGATGAGTGGAAATTGGACTCACATGTTTGCTTTCTTTCTGATATTGAAATTTTATTTCAGTGAAATGTTTGAAAAATGAAAAGTACTTGAATTAATAATACACATTAAAGGAGCGAAAAAACAAACTTTGAGTTATACTTTCAAACAAAATTTACATAACAAAGGAAATAATTTTAAAATCTTTTGGATCGATGAATGTGAACCACAGTTGTTTGGCAGTTAATATAATTAACTTAAATCACGCGTCAAATCATCGTGTTTGCAATTACACGCAAATTAGTTTAAGTGGAATCTTATCACGTGAAAATCTTGTGTAGATTATAAATGAAATTTGCTGAATTTGCCATGACACAACTTACTGTTGTTAAATTGTTTACTTTGGTGCGCAGGAATTGGTTGAAACTTGGAAACAACTTGCTTCAAAAAATTTTGCTGATGAATTTGTGATTTTCAATAATATTAGCTTATGAATTTCTGTTGCTGATTAATTTTAAAGTATTTTTATATTTTATTTAATCAAGTAATAGAAAGCAAATTGAGAACTGAATGATTGAAAATCAAATTGAACTTTTATGCAAGTGTAGCAAATGCGATTAAATTATTATGAAGCTTTCAACCATCATTGTATAAAACGTTAATTTAATTTTCCACCTACTTCAATCACATACAGGGAAATTTCTGCAAAGTATGAGAAATATCTCAAAATGTTTCCTTTTATTGAAAGCAGTGAAAACAAATTTAACGATATTTAAATTTGCTTTAGGACAAAGAAAAGTTTGATACTATTTTTATTAAATATTTTTAATTATAGTTATTGCCAGTTAGGTAATAATAGAATGTAATGAAACCAAAGAAACGTCAAATACTGGAATTGGCAATTCTGAAAATATAAATCGTTGGAGATTTGTGTCAATGCCCAAACGAATAAATGAGTCGGCATTAAATCAATAATACTATCGATACATGTCTCTCAATTCAAAACTGAATAAATTCAAAAATAATTGACTACTACTTTAACAAGCCATGATTAAAACTCAATAGATATTTGAAACGTAACACTTTCGTGTTCAAATTTCCCATTATAAATATTAAATAAACTTTCTTCAAATTTAAATATTTAACTAAAAGCCATTAAATTAAATTGATTGTTATAGCCGTTCAATTTATTAAATAATTCATAAAAAAAAGTTTCGATTTCTGCATTCTCTCATCAAGTGCTCAAATATTCATTTAAAGACTTTTAATTTTACAAAATAAAGTTGAAAATAAAATTCCGAAATTTGATATCTATTTTTAATTCCATTCATATTCATTTCAATTGTTACATAAATAAATTTCACAATTCGAAAAAAATAAAGTGATTGTTTTGTAAATATCAGAACATATTAAAAGTTACGTTTCTGACATGAGAAAATCTCGCGGAAAGAGATAACAGATTATCAATGATACAAAAAGCAAATATTTCTTCAATACACTGAATTTTATTTCATGATGTCTGTTTGCTTGTCGAATGAATCGAAAATCATGATGTTATGTAGCAAAACATTGAAAGGATGAACTTCGATTGTAATTTTAATGAATTTCTGATATCGTTGTGATATGTCGAACTAAAAAGAAGTTTTTGTTTTAGCATGTTTGCGGTGTAGATATTTATTTAAATAAACTTGTGTAGGAAATAATTTTGTGAGTTTTTAAAAACGATGGCAGGCGATGAGAGGGAAGAAGATATAAAACTTTTTCCTTCTTAAGAAGAAAGCAAATATTCAACATACAATGATGGTAATAATCCTGTTGTTGTTGCTTTTGAAGCGCTTTTTTATGGCACCAGCAGTTTACATCATTACAGCTGAAAAATTGCTGCAGAGCAAGACCACTGGGAACAGTTTTTCAGCTACTAAATTATCAGCGTTATAAAGCCACGAAAGTGCTGGAAATTTTCCTCTCTAAATCCCGAGTTATTTTCCATTCATTCTTCCTTATTTCAATGTAAAACGCTAACTAATTTTTATTGTTCATTAAAGTGCCAAAGTTGAGACTATTCAGACTCCTTTTATTTTGCGCTTTTTTCCCTTCATCCATCCATTGTTGGCAAACATTTGAATGGTAAGTGTACCGTGTAGATTGTAGAGTAAAGTGAAAGAAATTTTCCTCGATTTTCATCGTCAAAATATGGAATAAAAACACAGTGATTTACCTTACGATTTTGGAGTTGCTTTCGCTAACGATTATTTACCAACTCGTTATCTTCCTTCTCGACGCCACTGTGGCCGCAACGTTTTTTTTTTCTACTTTGCTATTATCCAACGCCATAAAACATTTCAATTTTTTTTCTACTCCACTTGGCATTCTCCTGATGCTGAATGCTCGAGACGATGGTTAAAGACTGGTGGAAAACGCTGTGTAATTTTCAACAAATTGAATTTTTATTTTTGTTTGATGGAGATTACTGCATTACAAACATTTCGACTTCATTTTTTATTGTTCTCAGATTTTTACTTTTGTTCTCCTACACTATGACTTAAGTCTTTTCGACTGCTATTAAGTATCGTTAGAAAAGAGAGCGAGGGTGAGAAAGAACACGATTTTGTTCTGTGTTTCAAACGAAGGGAGCTTTTTTTTAGTTTGTGCAAAACAATTTTTATTACTCGCAACATATGTGTGGCGAAAAGGTTTTTTTTATGTTTTCTTACATAAGACCATAAGCGTTGTGCGAGTGATGTTTCTCATGAAACGCAATCAGTTGAAACGAGTCAGGGTAATAAATAATTTTTCAACTGCTTTCTAGTGACTTGTAGAAAACGAGACGAAATAAGACGAAACAGTCAAACGAGAAACGACGAGAATAAAGAAGTGGAGAGGATGAATAAAAGAAATGACTTTTGTGTTTGGTAATTGAATGATAAAGCTTAGTTGGACGTGCGCTCGATTCGCCCCATTTTACACTAAATTGAGTGATAAACATGCTAAATGGCATAACCTTATGTTAGCTTCAGATTACAAACGGAGGAAAAGGAAAGAATTATGGGCACTCACCAGATGTGTTGATGCGACCGGTCGTCGTCAGTCGGGGGAAAATTTATGAAACCTTTTTTCTCTCTGTCGTCGCTTTTTTCTATTTTTTATATTTTCCTTTCTATCACCACATACAAAATACCTAGTTTGATCGCGATTCTCATTCCTGTGATTGTCAATGTCACATGTCCATTTTACGTTTCCTTTTGCAAAGCAGTTTTATTTTAAACAAAAATGTTTAGTAGCGTGTTGAAGCGTGCCGCAACGACCAGAACAAAAAGATTTATCATAAATATCCTTCTTAAACATGTACGAGAAAAATTTGTTAGATTTTTTGTATTCTTTTTCTTTGAAAATATATCATTTGGGTCTTGTAAGTTCGTATTTCCAAGGCTTCCAGATTTCTCGTCCGATGAGTTATGTTTTTGCGAAGAAGCAGCAGTCGAAGCAGCCTATGAAAGCATACAAACAGTTTATAGAGATATTTCCACTGACGGAGAAAATTCAGATCATTTTTCATTCTACTACTTAAAGGAGAAAGCCCCGGATAGCAGAAAAGCAAGCATGCATACACACAAAAAAAAGTTGTTAAAGTAATAAATTTCTTGTCAAAATGTGAAGCAAGGAATGAGAAAAACAGAGAAAGGAAAAAGATCGAAAGAAATTCTCATAACTTTTTTTCCAACAAACGACAACGATTCATGTTTCAAAGAAATTTGTAGTTTTTACAACTGCTTTAAAGCTTAAAAAATATGAAACAAAGGATAAATGTTACTGAATGATACTTTATACACCTGCAAGTTATAATAAATTCTCTTAAAACGAAGTGAAAAAAGAAAAAATTTCCAATTTTTTTTGTATGTTTTATGGTGCGGAAAAAATGAAATATAAAGTTTGTTGACAGCACCGTGCACATTGGAAATGAATGCTACTTCAAGACATTTATGCTACGGTCGATTCATAAGTAGAGTAGAAGTTGCTAATTCCGGCTGGTTTTAATACCGTTTTTTTCGGTATCTTAAAACCGTCTTTGGATTTTTCATGTGAAAATATGAAAATGTTTTCAACTTTTATCTTTACATCTAGGCTTTAAATTTAGTATAAAGCCTAGATGTAAAGCTAAAAGTTGAAAACATTTTCATATTTTCACATGAAAAATCCAAAGACGGTTTTAAGATACCGAAAAAAACGGTATTAAAACCAGCCGGAATTAGCAACTTCTACTCTATGTTTTCTGTGAAAGTTATGGGATCAAAGGATTTTCCATATAATGGCGAACAAACTTCATAAAACCATTGAATAAAAGCAACTGATATAAAGTTATTAGATTGGCTTGCAGTTCATGTTGCAGTATTAATTCAATTTATGTAATTTATGTTCAACGTTTCTGGTTTTCCCATTCCTTTCTATTCCTATAACTCTTGACTGCAAGACTTCACAAGATGATTTAAATGTCCAGAGAATTTCATTCAATTATATACTTCCAGATAACAGCTTAACATATTCTATGTTGGATCTAAATGGATCACAATATTCTGTTCACTGTAGCATTCATAAAACGAAGAGAACAAGCAGTAGCGAGATAACGAGATATGCGATTAAATCAATTTAACTCATTTGAAATTTCAGCATTCTTTTCGGTAAATGGTTGGTAAAGATAGGAAAATAAATGATAAGTGTGTACTCAGACATGAATGAAGTTTTATAATTTTTGATGTTACAGAGGAATTTCTTATGAACAATAAGAAGTGCTATTAAATTTCCTGCTTATAAATCTATCAATATTTGTGTGCAAATAGAAAATCCTTTATAACTAGATAACATCAAACCTGAGTAAATATTAGATTGCAAGATTTGCTTTAATCATAAATTTATAGGAAACTTGTTTGATCGTATAAGTCAACATAATCTTCACTGCCCACACAAATAAATGTTGTTCTTAATACCTTCCATCACATTCACTTTTGCAACGATGTTAAACCTTTAAGGTTTTGAGTTTTTCCACTGTACATGTTTTGCTTTTTTTTATTTTTGGGATGGAGAGTGAAAGGCAAAGCAGGAAAGACGAGAACGTACGAAAATTTCCATTTTTCAAATGTGATGTAATCACATCATTAAATTAAGCAGAACAGAAACCAGAAAATCGTACACATACACAACGTAATCCTTCTGAGCATTTTCCCATCAGCTTCTCCTTGCTGTTGCCTCAGTTTTTCGCAGAGAATCCGAAATGCTGAATGTTTTTTTTTGTTCTTCCTTTACGCTCGACAGCTTCCATATTCCGGTCACGCACGCACAAAACATGTTTCCCTACAGAGTTGTCCTCTTTAGCCCATTTCCCATTCGACTCTTTCCCTTTTTTCCTTCAACACACCGATTTGAAACGCAAGCGGACAGAAAAAGACGAAGATAAAACTTGTTCCCTTTAACATATTGAAAATTCTCAACAGTTTACGCAATCGATTGGCCAAGAGAAAACTTTTCATCAGATACATTCGCTTCAAGTCTTCTTACATTTCACTAAGAAGTGAGGAGAGACAGAAAGAAAAATAAAAAAAATTAAAAAAAGGAGATGCGAGCGACCTTTTGACTCATTCGTTATTATTCGTAATGCTTGCTACAGATGTCGGTTGATGTGCATGCAATTCAAAACGAAAAATCTCTGAATCAAACTTATATTTTGTTGGAAATGAGTTTGCTTTCTGCAGTGGTCCATGTTGTTAGCAGATGTAGATTGAATAGCGTTGGGATATCTCACGTCAGTGAAATAAAATGTTTTCAGTTTTCCGGATTTTCCTGAACATTGTTAGCAAGAAATGAGTAAAAATTATTTACTGGTTAAAACTCTGAACCCAAACACAACTCCAACGTTTTGAAAGCGTTTGAATGACATTGTAATAATTGGAATGTGAATTTTAATATGCTTTTGCTCCCGAAAGACTCCATTTCAAACAAATTCATCATGCGCTGATGTAGCTTTTCACAACAGCTTCACAGCTTTGTTTCTTTTTTATTTTTTAATTAAATTAAAATATGAATTAAGCTTACTCTACTCTAGAAATCAATTTCAATTCAATTTATCAATTAATAATCGTTTGGGACAAAACAATAAATAATTGTAATAATTTTTCATTCGCTGGGACATTTTTTTATGCTGGGTGTCGACGGAGATCGGAGAGTCATCCGCCCTCGTCCGCTCCATGAAACAATGTTTGGACATTTTTCAGGTAAATTATGTTTCTTTTTTTTTGTTGCTGCAACCAAGAGAAGCATAAAAACCTGATGGCTTATGCAATGACATGACACACTAATTCCCTCCATGAAAAATTGTTTATTAGACATTCATAAACATTAATTGCCACGCGACTGCTTGTGAACAAGGAACAATTAACTGTTCTTCAACTTTGCTCTTTGTTTTTCATTTTTTATTACCATTTGGTGCTTGTTAAAAAAAACGACGACAAAGTTGACAAGAGGATGGCAAAAGCCATGCGGCTGAGGGTGACGTTTGAAAGTGAAAATAAAATAAAAGTTTGAAGGAAAAGTTTTCGTTGACGCTTAAAATGAAAGGAAAAGAAGAAAAATAAGAAACACGAATGTCGAAAAAGAAGAGAAAAAATCTCATAAAAAAATTATGATTTCATGAATTATTCATTATTGTAACTCAATCAAATTTTGCCGCCCTTTTCTTCCTTCTTGCCCTCCTTAATGTGTAACATCGAGAAAGAGAGAGAGACAGAGAGAAAAAAAAAAGAAATAAGAAGTAGAAAAATAAAAAAGATATTTAAACACACATCATCAAGCGAGGAAAAATCATAAACTCGACATTGTCACTTTTCACTTGAATTATTTTCTGTTTACCAAACACATTCTGCGTCTTAAATTAATAAAGCATTTATAAGATGGAAAGAATGAAAGCAGCCATGACTGCTGCAGACAATTATATTTTATCTAATGTAAAAAGCGGCGCTTTTTTCATCTCAAGAAGCAAGCTAAATAATCTAAGTGAAAGATGTACAGTTGATGTTCGTGAATACAATTGCTTAATTTATCTCAGTTGAAAGTTTTGCGTTGTTTGAAACGGAAGAAGAAAATTTATTTGGATTCAAATTTTGTTCAACTGAAAACATCGCTAAAATTAATTATGTATTTAAAAGAGAAAGATAAGTGCAATGGTGTAACGATGTTTAGAAAAAGCCTGACTTATTTAAACTGACATAGCCAGATGAGCAAATAAATATTAACAATACGTTTAAATTTTCTGTTGATGTCGGTACTAAGCGTTTCAACTTCCCTTCAAATGTGTTATCTAACATTCAGATCTGCTGTGCTTTCTGCGACATTGTGATGGAATATTCTTCTTTACAACATTTGATTTGTGCTTCCGGAATAACGAACTGAATTATGTTTTGTATATAAATGTCCAAAGCGCATGGACTGAAAGATGAATCATCCATCTCGTTATCATTCATTTATCTGCTGGACGCTTCATTCAAATTCAACTAAATTTTTCATTTAAAATGGTAATGTGAAGCAGAGAATGATTAAGCAATGTGAATTTGTTACGCTCGCCTGCGAGTGCTTTTCCTCTCAATACTTTATCTTTTGCAACATTTATTCAACAAACGTTGGCTATGCGATTTTCTTCAATTTTTCGCGCTGTCTTCCATTACGCTCCACTCCGGTTTCTACGTTGATTAAGAAAATGAGAATTTCATTGCTTAATTATTGTAGTGAAAGTTGAGTGAACGGCACTCTGGAATTCAATTATCAACTAAATAATAATTCCATGACACGATTCTCCCCTCCGATGTTGTTAAACAACGAACATTATGTTGTACCATGACGCTGAAAAACATGATGGAAAGAATGAACGAAGAGCACAGAGTAAGAAAATATTTTGTACAGCATGTTGTTCAACTGCCACGAATCTGAAAGATGTGCCTAGAGACGTTTTATATAAAAAAAAATAAATGTTGATTATTAAACAGGTTTAGAAGACCGAAAAATGAATATTTTTACTCAATTTCTGGTGTAATCGTTATGCGTAATAATTTCCCATCAGGGGAAAACTTTTTTTTTACATGCTCGCACTCTTTTCTTTTCAATTTTCCTTAGCAGTTTTACTTTCATCGTTGGGGTGAACTTAATTTTGATTGTGCGTTTCGGAAGAAAAGCACACGAAGAGAAGGAAAAGGAAGGTGGGGAGAAAGGAAGTCACAAGCTTTGATGATGAATAAGCTGAAATGAAAGTTTCTTTTTCCTTCATTTCGTTTTTTCCGTTTTCATATATAAATTTGTTTTCTTTCTCATCTGAAACGGAGTCGACACTTTTATTTCTGCCACTACCAAATGTTGGCATGTAATTGGATTCCACCTCTCAAGCGTAGATTGCTATGGGGTGGCAGTGAAAATGAAAAGAGCTCCTTGAGCGACATTTCTTTACGCGCTATGCTTCGGCAACGAGAAAAAAGCTTTCGTGTAATTAAAATCTCAAAGGATAAAATGTGCTTAGATCTCTACAACTCTATTACGCATTTCAAATGATTTTATTCCGCCTATGATGCTTCGAATCAATGAGTTGGAGAGAATAAAATATCTCAGTAGTGAACAAATATAGAAACGAAGGAATCAAGTGGGAAAACTTTCAGTAATTTGCGATAGATGAGGTTGATTGACTTTTCAAATTTAAACTTTTGCAAGTTTCCTTAGATAATCGGAATTTTACCCTTCTCCTTCTACTCCCATAATAACCTCAAGTTGTCAAAATATAATTTGGTTGCACTAAATTGCTTCCTGATGTTCCTTGGGAAAAGAGAAAAAAACTTTAAATTTAATTATCAAAGTAAAGTTTTCTTCTATCTTTTGCTGGGTTATTTTTCATAAATTATCTTGATAGAAAACGTATAAAAATATGATAATATTGCAAATAATTTTCAATTAAATGAAATGCATTTCAAAAGAAAAAATATTTGCTTAGTAATTGCAATTTTTCTTGTTTCGCTTCCAACCATAGATCACTAAAAGCTTTCAGTAAAGTTCTTGTAAAGTGAACTTTTCTTTTACTCATAATAAATATTTTAAAATAAATATAAAAGCATTTCAGTTGTTTCCATAGAGTGAACCGAAAAAAACTTTCCAACATCATTCATTCAAATTAAATAATTCTTTCTCCCTTCTGCACTCGTCAAAATTCTGAAGGAAAGGAAAAGAATTATTTCTTTGAACATTATGAGATGTTGAATGGATAACTTGGTATATCGAAAGCAATAGCAAATCACATTTAAATAATTCAAATTTAATTAATTTTGAAGAAACGGGGGGCTTTCTTTACTTTCGTCAGAGAAAATTCTTTTGAAAAATCAATTTAAGGCGGCACTTGAGAGCTCTTCGAAACAGTTTCAAATTGCTTTTAACAGTTCTCGCGAATACTTACTGTGAACGTTGAACGTTCGTTCTTTACAAACGATAATAATGATGATGGTGTCGTTGTTATCGATCGCAATTGAATTTTAGAAATTGAGAAAAATCGATGAATTCATTTAGAAAAAGGAAAATTAAAGATTTTTGCATTTCAATTATATTTTCTACCATCTTATGTTTGGTTCTGGCATTTTATCAATTGAAATCAGCTTGGGATGATTCGTTTTGTTGGACTAAAAGCTCAGTATGAGAGCAACTTTACATCGTAAAAGTTTTTTGAGTATCGTTTCGAAGTCATGAATTTTAAATTGTTTGATTATTATGCTTGAATGCCAGGCAATAAAATTCCTCCTCATTTTGTTCGTAGTTGTTCGACTTCGACCCAAACCCTCTTGAGTGCTATCAAGTAGCATCAGAGCTTGCACTGCGGGAAATTTTGTGTGTGTGTATGTGTATTCTTTTTATTTCATGCAGAAATTTCTCAGAAATCTCTCCGATGCTATTAATAAGATCCTTTTCATTTTCTTTCTTTATTCCACTCAATTGAGAGAGCAAAAATATTCAAAAAGTTTCAACATTTTAATTTAATTTATTTTTAATGCTTTTTATCGTTTATTGCTTTTTTTTGCTATTTGTTTGGAGCTTTTACAAGTGAATGTGAAAAGTTTTGCTAGAAGCAACCGAAGCTAACGAGAGCAAGTGGGAAAAAAGAAGAAGAATTCGTAAAGCAATTCTCGATCTCGATATGGGGCAATCATTTATGACTTTTCGTAGTTGAGGACGAGAAGATTTTCATTCGACGATAACTTTTCTCTCTCTTGTTTCTTGCTACAACATAATACATCAGCTTCCATCAGTTTTACATTTTAGAAAATGCTGAAAAGTAAAAGTTTTTCTCTAAAACTTGGAACATGACTTCAGAAACATGATCATTAGAAAGTAAATTTTAGACGTTTAGAACCATACATAGATTGATGTTGTTAAGAGAGTTTAACTCTGAACATTACCTCATATTATTCTATAAAATCTACACGATACATGGTTAAGTTTCATTAAACTGGCTTTTAACAGCTACGCTTCTTATGTTCGGGAATGTAATTTCAAGCGATACAATGATGCCGCATGTGTATAATTACTTTAATGTTTGAATAATTAACAACGTGAAAAAAGCATAAACTTTGAATAAAATAATTAAAAAAATAAAAAAATTCAATTACGGTGAGCCAGAAAACTCATTATCTTTACCATCTGTGTGTGTGTATGTGAAATATGAATTTTACTGTACAGAAGCGTCTAAATTTATGTTTCACAATAGTTGATAAAATGAGAATTTCATCGTTTATAATGTGTTATTTTGTTTGTTCAGATAGTTAAATTACAATATTTCATCGCTGTTTTTTACAAACTTTTGGGTGTTTATGTTTACCGGTGTGATTTTTTTTTTGTATCCGAAATGTATCCTGTTATGACTTTATTCGCAACGTTCATTGTTTGTTCTGATATTCTTCTCGTATCATACTCATTACAGATTTTTGAGGTGTCGCATCACTGATTTTAAAACCTTATTAACATCGGCTTTGCAACTTTCTCAATTTTTTCTTTTATACCATCGCATCGTTTGTTTGACAATGTTCTTTTAAGTCAAAGATTTAATACAATCCCTTGATGGAAATCAACGTGATTAAATTTTTTATTATCATTTCGATGATGGTTTGGTAAGAATTTTTTCCACGTTTAATATTTCTATTGAGATTTTCCAACTCCTTCCACCATCTAATTTAGATAATTTGACTCTGAATTTTGATGTTGAAAAAGATGTGAAATCTGAAAATTTAAACATCATTGAAAATTGCAATGGCACAGATAACATTTTATTTTACATTTCTTAACTAGATATTTAACTGAAAAATCCATTTTCACAAATATTTCATATAAATTCTAGAAAATGGAAGAACACAAAAAATAAAGTGAGGATTTATTTCTGCAGTGAAAATTTATTTGATTTCGTTCGAATCTGAAACATGTTCAAACTCACATATCTATATTGAATTATTTTCGATTTTGATCTGATAAATAATCAATTCCATTCGTTTTAAACTTTTTTTTCTCTTCTGTCATGGGAAAATCATTTTCGTCGAGATCGGCTTCTTTATTTTAATCTTATTGCATTTGCCTATGAGGGAAAACGAAAAGTAAGCGTTTTCGATTAAAAAATAGGATTTGATATTTCGAAGCGTAACTGCTAAAGCTTTTCAGCTTTGAACTCCTCAAAAAAATATTCCACCCACTCAGCTTAAATTGCGACGCGCTGCGATATGTGAAATTGATTTCGCTTCGACAAAAAAATATATATGTTCTCCCTCCCGAAAATATCTCCTCCAAACTAATATGCTTCTATAAAAATGGCAATCATCAATCAACCTCAGTTTTACTAATGATACATAAGCACTTTAGTAGCAAAAAAAAAGATCTCAGTTTGCTCAAGAAAAATATACAAATGTGTGTAGTGTGCGAGAGCGAAATGAGATTTTTTTCTTCCTGCTTTTGCGGGTCTGGAGGGCTTCAGCATATGTGAGTAAGAGGGTATACATCAAAACAATTTTTCACAATGCTCTTAATGCTTTTTTTTCCTTTTTCTTCTTCTCTCTTTCGAATGCCACCACAAAACCAAATCACCAGATACAATTCATTCGCATCTTTTTTTTCTCCCTCTCATCATTCCTAGCATAAGATATATGTTGTAGTCCGAGGAATGTAATTCGAAAGCAAAAGTAATCGATGGTCATTAGACAAAGTTTTTTTTCCTTCTTTTTCGATGTTTATGCGAGGAAAGATATAAAAGAGAAATAATTGAATTACCAAACTCTATGAGCCGTGAGAAGAGACGAACGAACGCGTGGGATAACTCGTACGCACGATATTAGTTAAACGTTTGTGAAGGGAAGTTTGTACGAAAAAGACAAAGCATTTGGGATAAAAATAACACGTTTAATTGTATCAAGCACAATAATTAATTGTTTAACATTTATTTGATTGCGATGAATTTCATTCATTAATGTCATTAATGTAGTGATAGCTACGCTTTTCTTTTGTTTTCTCTTATGTCGATGCGATGATTATTTTTTGTGTAGCTTTGCTGTTTCCTGCTGTGTTGATATGGCAGCTCAAAGTGTTGCTGCCGGTCATTGTAAACCTTTGAAGGAGAAAAAAAATAAAAAGAAGTTTTTTTTTCGACAAAAAGTGTCAGATTTCGATTGGTCTCCTACTCAAACTTATGTATGTGGTCTAGCGATGAAACAATCTTTCTGATTGTGGAAAGTTGAAACCTTTTCATTTTATGGCATCTACATACAGAAATGTACATACGTTAATGCCATTTGTTTAGGAAAAAGAATAGCAAGCAAGCAAGAAAAAAAGTTGATGTGGGTTTTATCAATAATGAAAAGCACGTTAAGTTCTGTTTCATTTTATTTTATTGTTGTTAAGTGTGACTTCTAAACTAAGCTGTTTTGTCATGTGACGCATTTGAATAGTGAAAGGCATCTTATGTTCTGTTAATATGTGTAAGTTTTCAACAAGATGATAGGAAAGTTTTCAAAATTAAATACGATTAAGAAACAACGAACTATGTTCATAGTTGGATTAAAGTTTTTACCTTCAGCAAAAACTTTCTATGCTGCCAAAGCTGGTAGCATCTTAAAACTTATTTAATTTAAGACAATGTAAGAGACTTGCAATCTTTCCAACATAATTAATATTATTCATGTTCAAATATTTAAACAGTTTTAATTTTTCACAATTATGGAATTATTTCATATGAAGAAAAGTTTATTTAAAACATTTGGAAATTCTTCATTCATATTCGAATTTTATTTCAACATACATAAAACAATTTTAGATTTATTTAAGTGTATTCAGTCTGATCAACTTCTTTCTCTTTATTGACTTTTCTTTCGATAAAAATCTTTCAATCAACGCTGAGTCTGTGTACTTGAAGCATCTACCTGCAAACTATATTAAATCAATCAAAGTCAATGTTGTATTTTTATTTGGCAAACTCCCTTCTGAATCTGACGAATTGATTTTAGTGCGAGTTCAAGACGTGACTAAAACAATTTTTCTTTTATTTTTTATTTAATTTTTTTTTTCTTCTTTTTCTTTGTAGAATACATGCGAATGATGTCGTTGATGGATATTTTCTCGTGCTTGACTTCTTTTAACGTGTTTATTCTTCCGTTCATCAGCTTTTTTTCCTTTTTCGTTTTACTTCGTATTTATTGAAGCAAATTCAAAATTACAGCTCGATGGCCTTAAGAAGTTTAACGCTCCTTAAGTAAAATGAAAGTCATCATCAATTAAGAAAGCGCCTTTCGCTTTTTACTTAAAATCAAATAGTCTTTTGTGTAAAATTTAATATCGTTGAAATTTTCTCCGACGTTTACCATTTCCGAATACATTTTAACATCGCTTCGACTTTTAAGCAAACTTCTCAAAGGAAATGAGAGGGGAAATGTGAAAGGAAAACTCTGTGTCAAGACGTTAATTTTGTTGCCAACAATGGCATGAAGGAAGCTCTTATAATTTTTTTTTATCTCTTCGTTCATTGCTATCAAAGAAGAATGCAAACGCATTTGACAATGAGAAATGTGAAAAGTTCATCCACAAATAAAGCTGAAGTTCATCGTTTTAATGCATCATTATCATTAAGAAGAGAACAGAGAGAGAGCGAGGATAAAAACGGAAAAATAACTGGAAAAGTTGGATGAGAAAAGTTTCATTTCCTTTCTTTCATCTTCTCTCGTTAGGAATTCTTCACAGTGCGCGTGTAAAAAACCCATTTATGGCTATAATAACATTGTTGAAATGTTAATTGTATCTCCTGCTTGTCCCTCAAAGTGCACATCTTGAACTTTTTGCTTTTATGGTTCCGCTTTGGTCAGTGAGTGATATGGTTACGAACATCATGTTGCATGCAGTAGAAGATATGCTTCTATTGCTACTTTACTCCCACAATAAATATACATTTATATAGTTTAATGTGTTGACTGGAGCATTGGTGATCAAAAATAAATGACTCTTGTGGCATTTCAAGAGAGAATGATGTCGAGTGTGAGATGGCGACTCAAACATTAACGAGCTAAAAATAACATTAAATTGTTATCATGTAGATGTGAATTTATTGTTTCATGTGGCTATCATTGTAGCATCAGAACTCAGCATGCGTAAGGCAAAGCTTTTAATAAATATTAATGTTACAAAATCTATCAATATCACTTAGCTTGACGATATTATCTTGTCGATTAATGGAAAATTTCAAACTCCCATGAGTGAATCGTAAATGATATGGCTTTGATATTGTTAATAGATAATCTTATTCAATTCACGAAGCCGTTGTGGGAAACATCAATTTATTATTAGTTTTCGAGTTGTTTAAGCAACATAATAGAAAAGGAAAATGACACATACTTTTCCATTCATTCACATAATAATCAATCGTATATTATTCGTTCAATCAATGATGTAATCAAATCGAAGTTATGATTTACCTTTTATGTCTCCAATATAAAACATTAAAAAATTTCTGTTTTCATTCAAATTATATGGGTAAATACAAAATAACGAATTAAAATGGAGCGTAAAATTTTCTGGATGAATACGCTTCAAGTTATTAATTTTTAATGGAAGAATTATCAAGTTTACAACTTTGTTTAACTTGTATATTTGTACAATCTTAAGTTTTTAATTATATGTATGTATGTAGTCCATACTACGCAATAAACATGATGATTAGTGATTTTGTGAAAGTTGAATAGCTCTGTTCGATAATTGTTGTAAATCTTTTATGATATTATTCATTCAACGTGAAAGTTTACCAATGAAAGGTCATCTGAAGGTTTCAATCGAAAGCAATCAGAGTAAAGGTCATTAGATATTTCCACGAGAAAATAAAAAAATAAAGGTTGCCCTAATTGAGGGTTGGTTGGTTGGTAATGTTTAAAATGATTAAAGGACAACACACTGCAGTTTATAAACTCGAAACTTTATGACGAAACTTTTCTCCGCTGCAAAATTTTGTTGGCTGCTTGCTGTGATACGAAACAAGTGAATGAAGCTTCAAAGATTTTATTTTTCATACTTTTTATCATGTTCTGTAAAAATCACGAACACCGATCGATTCTTCATCAATATTAAATTCAATTAATAAGAAAAAGTTTCAAGTTAAAAATCGCTTGTGATAAATAAAACATTAATCTGTGCTTTTCAATTCTAAATTGAATGTTTTTCTCTCACTTTATTTTCTAGATTAATTTTTCTTCAAAACCTTTAATTAAGTTTTCTTTCTCTTGTTTTATTGAATCAGCACATTTTTAATGTTCTCATGAGATTGAAAATCTTCTCAAACCTTAATACTACCTACTTACCTCAATTAAAAAGGAGAACTGATTTCTAAACTCCAAAATCAATTGCTTCATAAATAATTCGTAGCCATTGTTTGCAGCCAACTATAAGCTCAGCAACCATGAAAAATTCAACGCTAGCAATTTTAGCTTAATTAATGAATTCTATGTTTCCATGAGGCAATAAAAAAGAGCTTTTCTAGGAGAAGTAAATTCAATTAGTTTTGTCTCCCTTCGCTCTTCTTGTTGCTACGAGTATGAACAATAGAAGAAAAAAATGCAAATATTTAAAAAGCATGAAAATTTATTTTTATCTCGGAAACATGAAGTTTATTTCTTTTTTTAACGCTACTGGTGCTGGAAATATCTCACATGAATACTAAATTTATTTACATATGCTTTTCTGGACGACGTTTACTAGCGTTGAAGCTACGCTCTTCAAACCTAGTGAAAAATTAATTTAATAAATTTTAGCTCACAAAGCTCCTACATTTATTCAGCTGATTATATTCGTGAAGAATTTTAACAGCTAATTTTCATAAATTAAAATGTTTGGCGGATGTGGAATCTTACTAAGAATGCATCTTAATTGAAATATTTTATTTTTTCCCTTCATGAGTAATTTCATTCTCATGCGATTCAATCGTTGAAATTTGCATGCATGATATGATATTCCACCCTCGGCAATATATGATAAGAGAGTTGAATAATCAACAATGCAATCGCTATTTCAAAGCACACATATTCTACAATCGAGTGTAATTAGAACAGAGCTTGTGGGTATTTTTATATTAAATTATCTTCAGACTGCTACAGCTATGTCAGGGATTGCTGGTAAATATGAACGCTTGCCTTCCAGCCTATAAATTTAGCAAGCAACCAAGCAGCAGATTTTCCATTCTTGTTCCATTCAATTAAATTTTATTGAATTGAAAAGATCGAAAAAAAGAGATAAATTTGTTAAATTTTATATCTACTATTGCATATGTACATATCTATAAATATGCAAAGAGTGGTTATTCGAATAATAAACATCATCATAAAGTACTATAAATGCAAATGTGTTACGATGCCTCTCACATGCTGCGGTACTTATGTCCATTGATCATTCATTCTCATGAAAACAAATGCTACCGATTGTTAAAAATGTAATTAAAAAAAGCAAATGTCGTTTGGTGTTCTCTTTTTTTCGTGTAATGAGATTATTATAATCTTTATGAATGTGATGCGGTTTTGTTCTAGTTGCAGTCTTTCGTTGCAAATATTTTTCCAACCCCATCGTCATACAGCGACTTAATGAAACTGTCGTTAAAACTTTTCTTTTTTATATCTACTTATAAAGTTTATTTATATTTATTATTATTTTTTTCTTTTTTGGAGAAAGCAAGCGACAATTTTATGACATGCGCTTCTAATAAATAAATATGAATTATTCTCTGCTTAACTAAAACTTTCCTTGAACAGACAGTGAAATAACTTTTGCAGTTTATGAAGGAAGTGAGTTTTATGCAAATGATTGGCGAAGTTTTATTTTTTCTTTAGTTATTTTTCAAAATTCATGGGACACATGTGTTTATGAATCAAAATTTTATGAGTTTGTGGCAAGTTATGAAAATCGTACATGACATGCATTGTGCAAGCTGTGGACAAAAATGTTCACCTCATTATAATTGTGGATATTTTGCTTACATACATACATACATACAAACATATTTTTGAATGAATTGTTGATATCTATGGCCAAATATTTTATACAAGCAGTTAATTTACCATTCTGTCCTCAAATCTCAAGTAAGTTATTGAAAAACCTTTTCAACGAAAACCTCAACTGTTCACAAAACATTGGATAATCAAGGGAATGTAAATTATTTTCTGTCATCACTTTTCCTCCCTTTTTTAAAAAGCAACCAACAATTTTTAGAGCTTTCATTACAGATAATTTTGCATCCTTTCATTTTATGGGACAAAAAGAAAGAGGAAATGTTGGAAATTTAAAAAGTTTTTTTTTCTTTCTTTTCTGACATTTTCATTTTGCAAAAATATGTTTTCACAGTCGTCGTTATTATAGCTCGTTGACCCATTTCAACTCCTGGTGACTGCTGTGGAAAAAAGTTAAGATAAATCCATTTGAAAATTAGATAAAGCAAATTTTGTCAAACAGTTAATTTAGGATAAATTTTCTCTTAAAAATGCAAATTTTATTTATTATTTCATGAATTCGTCAAAAAAGAAAATTTTCAATATCCTCATCGACAAACGATTTGAGAGATAAAGAAAAAGAAGGAAAATTGAATGATTTGTTTTTCCAATGATGGGCTAAATAAACATAAAAGGCAAAAATGTAATAAAGTTACAACGAGAAAGCAAAGATCATCGAGTTTCGATAAGTCCCAAAGCTCTCTTTTCACTCTGTTTGCGCCTTGAGAAGCATCTACGAAGTCATCAATTAAATTCATTATGGATGATTTATTTCCATCGTTTTCTCTCTGTTTTCATAACGAAAAATTTTCTCGTTCCAACTCTGATTCCAATTGAACGCTATATCCGCTAGCGACGACTGATTACCATAACACTTCAATCTCTCGTTCTGCTTTCATTGTCTTCTTTCTGTTTCTGGGTAAATAATCGGGAAATATGTCGTGAAGAGAATTACTTTGTCTCTGGTAAAAAGAAGAAGTGATTTTTTTTCTTACTTTCCTTCCATGTTTAATGGCTCTTCTCAGAAAAATTCTTTTATTAAATTTCTCCCTTTTCTTTCCTACCCTTAAACCCAAAACAGAAGACAGAAAAACGGACAACTTTGTGCAGATAAAGAAATTAACGAGCTTAAGAGTTCTTGTTTATCATTTCACTTGTAAATACAAAGAAAAGATGAAATTGAAGAAGTGAAAGAAGAAGAAAGAAGCTACGTTGTTGAAGCGATTTTAATTTTTCGACAGCACGACATAAAGTAGGAAGCAACGTTTTCGTACAATTGAAAATTTTCCGAGAAAAAAGATGGAAAAGATCGATAAAAATTAAAAATTTAATTATACTTCTTATTCATTGTACCTACGTGAATCTTAACTTTCTTTTCTTTCACTTCCGAAAATGGAAAAACTCGTGAAATCATCAGTGTTCTTAATGATTTGATTTAAATCGTTTAAATACAATTAGAATCCCTTGAAAGCGTAAGAAATTTTTAATCGCCATCGTAAAACGTAAACGTTTATCAGTTACAAAGTAGCTGAGATGAAGTTATACTTCCTTCATTCTCCACCATCACACCCCCACACAATACAGCAGTTACTTTCAAACGAAGAGTCACTGCGAATGAAGCGGAAAGGATTTTCATTTGAGTTTTATTGTATTCTGTTGCCTTCATCGTGGATTTTAAAATCTTCTCATTCCACAATCATTTCTATCCCTTATCATGTTATTCGAGATCGTTTGGCGCTCGGTCGGTGCGCTTGTTTATTTACATACCAGAAACAAATTTTTTTATTCTTTTCTCTCTCTCTCTCTCCTTCACTCACTCTCTGATGCTGAGAATTAAAATCAAGGGGCAGATCATCGGAAAAAATTGGAGGGCAAAAGCACTATTGCTGCATTGAAGCACTAGACAAATTCCAAGAAAAAGTAAACAAATTCTTGGAAAAAGGCCATTTTTCTTGAAAAGCACTAATGATTTTCGAAGCATCACTTGGAGGCAGCGGGCAGAAGCACTACCATGATCTGCCCCTTGATTAAAATGAAAAAAGGACATTAAGTGGATAAACGGTTTGTTTAGCAACTTTTGCTATTTCCTTGTGTCCAGTGTCAAACTTTTGTTTTCGTCCCTTTCCGCTTTGTTGATGACATTTATTTATTTTTTTTTTCAACGGGAATCGTCTCTGCACGACTCATTTCATGAGTATAATCATAAAAAATTTATGAATCATCTAGATACGACCATGGTAGCAGTTACATGAGAAAGCATTTCAGTAGAAAAATTGCGTGAAGTTTGGGGAGATTGCTTTGACAATTCTCTTTCTTTCCTTTCTTCTTTTTTTTGTTGTTTTTCATCCCCGACAAGTAACATGACGTTCTACGCCTCGATGAATTTATTGCAGCTTACTGTGTAAAACAGTCACTGATGGTCACATGGAAATTAGCAAAATTACAAGCAAACGAACGAATTTAAAAATTTATGTTCAACATTTTTCGCTCGTTATGCAGTGCACATATGAATAAATTTTCTTTTGGCGTTATCGCTCAAAGTGTGTGTATATATGTGTGTGTTGATGGAGATTGTAGCAAGGGAATGTTGAAGGTGGGAATAAAATGAAAATGGAGACAATATTCAAGGCAGGTCAAGCATAAAGAATTCTCTTTTTTTCCATCCTTCTATTTAGCGAGTGAGTTGAAAGATAAATTCACAGGCGTACAAGTCACGGTTCATTTGTTAATCAAACATACGATAAGCGTTTTTTTTCTCCCCATTCGCCTTTCATGTGCCTGGCAGCATCAACATAAAGAACCATGAATAAAAAAAAAAGTATGTGTATAGATCGAAATCATTTGATATGATTTTTTTAGCTGACAGCGAATCCATTTATTGTAAAGCTCATAAAAGCGAAGGATGAAATGACTTTATTTTTGCGTGTCTCACACTCCTGAATAAAACCAGAGCAGTTAAGAGTTACCATGCCGCTTGTTTTGTTTTTATTGACTCTTGTTTTCAGCCTTGATGCTTAGTTTTACGAAGAGGCGCACAGCAAAACTCTACAGAACCCATAAAAATGGTTTAGTCAACATGATTTGTCGATTTCTCATCGCTACAGCACACAGAGCAATGTTGTAAGCTTTACCCGGCTCTTGCTTCATTTCGATATCAACACAACAGTCGTTTCGCTTCATTTCATTCATCCTCATCCTCACCGAGCTGAATAGAATCGAATCGAAAAGTCAACATTTGATTCTACGAGCTTAATTTTAGTCTTCATTGCATTATTTCGGATGAGTCGAGACAGCACAAAATTGAACAGCGCTTGTCACTGTATGACATTTTAACATGAGTGCATTCGTTACTATTTAATATATTAATAGAATGACAAGAGAACTTTTCGATTCCAATTTTAAGTAACTACGTATGTAACTTCAAGTTGTCTGTGTTTTACGAAAACCCCTTAAGGTTTAAGATTAACTCAATGAATTGGATATTTTCATTTTGCCTTCTTCTTCTCTCCTTTTCTTTTACTTTTGATTCACGATTCCTTTTCTGTAATGCATATGAGCAATAATCTGCCATATCAGAATGTTTTTGCTAGAAAAAAGCTTATGTAAATTCGTCAGTTTATCTATGAAGATGATATTTCTAACGTTGGTTGCTTGCAACATATGAAAATTTTCCGACTGTTATGTCACGATGAAAAAAAAGGATGAAAACAGAGAAATGGTAAAATATGGTAATCATGTCAAGTTAGAGTTAATATTTTCTGCTCTCAGCACGAAATCGTTTCTCCTCTTTTTTTTTTTCAACTTTCTTGTTCATCTCCTTCTCTTTTACATTCATTCATCCATTCAGCTGGTTACGCTTGACTTCATATTTAGCTAACAAAAGCTCAAAGCTATTGGTACCGATTGTTGGGTATCGCATACGTAGAGTTTGAATAACTTAACCGTTTTAAAAAGCTACATTCCCTTGACTTTTGACTTGATACATAAAGAATTTAACGTGCTTTCCTTTACAGTCTCTTTGTGATCCACTTTTCCGTTTTCCCAACTTTCCCTTTTTTCAGCCTTTTGTGACTACATGTATCTAAATATGTATAAAGTGAATAAGTATTTCAGAGTCGTTTGCTCTCATTTTGAATGCCTTTTTGGAAAAACATGTTACAAACAACAACGACGACGGCAAGAAAAAAAAAGGAAACAGTTGAGTAGCGACAACAGTGAATTGTGAAGATAAAGAAGAAATAAAAAATATAACCAAATCTTAAGCATCATACAGTGACAGTGATTACTGAGTATTTTCCATAAGTGCCATAACAGTTTGACACTGTCAGCTATGAAGTTGTTTCTTTTATTTATTTTATATTCTTATAAAATAAGTATTTATTCTTAGATTCTTAACAAAGCATGAAACTCATATAAAATCTTCACACAAAATATCCACAGAACAGTAAATAAAAGACGTCCAAATCTTTGCTTAATCAAGTCTTTGTTGGATTTTATGTGGCACTTTCTGTTAACTTTAAGGCAACAAGCAGAAATGTCGTAAAAGAAAATTGCCCGCTATTGCTTTTGAGTCTCTAAAATGTAATTTCTCTTTTTGTGTCTGGTTGCTTCTTTCATTTTCCCCCTTTTAATAGATATACGGTTGACTGGAAAAATCCATTAAATTCATAATCACTACGGAAAATTTTCATTTTAATGAGTGAGGTTTTTATGATTCTATGCAATGTACAACAATCACGGTTCTCAAATAAAAGTAATTATTTGATTTTACACTTTTATTCAGTAATTAGTGGGTGAATAAATCAACTAAGTAATTGACCTATCAATACATTCATTAATTAGGAGCTTATTTTTAAAGCGCTTTATTTTCAATTGATTCTAGTTAATAAAAGGTTTATTTTAAAATTAGAAATTGTGATCTAAAAGCTTTATTGCTTGTTTTGTGTTTTTAATTAGATACTGTGCTCCAAATATTTCACGTTGGAAAGTCAGGAGAATCTTCCTTATTGATTCTTTCTTCTATAATTAAATTCTCTTCTGTCCCTCGAGGAAAAAAAAAGATTTACTTTGAAAGTGGGTAAAAGACTGAGAAGTTTAGTAATAAACGGGTTCCTGCGTAGGTGTGTAAATGTGATTCCTTTTTCTGCTTTGTCTTTACCTGCCTACGTTTAGATCGATTTTTAAATAAAATATATTTTTTTTAAATTTAAACTTAACTGAGCAACTGAGATGTTTTCGACCGAGCTTAACTGTCGTCCGCATTATGAAGACTTTGACTGGTAGATCAAGAGTAGATCTTCAAAAGCTCTTCGAATAAATACAAATTGTTTTATGAAACAAATTTCAAAGAATTTGCTACCTAATTTGCTTAATTAATAAATGATGTTAACAAAATTGTTTTTCAACTGAATTTCGTCAAGATTCAATTTTAATTCATTCCATTACGTTATTTCATAAAATGAACCCTTCTATATTTTAAGATAAATATTTACCATTTAGAGATTTTTTAACCACAAGCATTTGATGTCGACAACAACGAAAAAGGAATAAAAAGTCCATTACCCAGTCCACCACTGGCCAGTTGAGCTAATGATTGTTTGATGGATGTTTCACGTTTGCATTTGTTCCTTTTCCCTTTCTCTCTCTCTCCCCCATGAGAATGTGTTAGCTTTTTGTTTCCAGTAAGCATAATTGGTATTTTATGTAAAACTTTCGCTTGAAGGTAAAACCTTAAATTCATTCTGTGCTTACGGAAATTTCAAATTTAATTTGGACAGCTTGGTGAGGTATTTTGAAGGTAATTAAAATGTAATTTCATCGAGGAAATTATTGTTTGGGGCAAGTAGATAATCAAGTTCCATAGTAACTTTAACTTTAAAGTAAACCACAGCAACTCCCTGGTATTTACTTAGAGAAATGTTGAGATTTTTTAAATAAAGTACAAAAATATTTAAAACAAAATTGAAAGCAAAGCAGACATTCCTCTCGAGAGTATTTTAAGAAATGAAGGATTGAATTTGAGAATCTTCTTTTTCATGTTTTAAAATAGATTTTTAATTAATTGTTTAGAAAAGGGTGAAAGATTACCAAGGGATGAACTTGGCTTATGCTTGCTTCGAAACATGAGTAGGCAAACTCAAAATAAAATATAAAGAGAAGCGCTTCTCGTTCTTCATGATACTTATTTCTAAAATAAATTGAAGGATTAAAAGCTAAGAAAACTTAATTTGCTGTAAATGTGCATTCGACCAAAAAACTTCTCCTAAGTCTCTTAGCTACATAACAAGCAAAAACAAAAAGAGAAAAGTAGGAAAACAAAAACGAAAGAAAAGTTTAATTCCTTCATCCTTTTCTCTTAAATAAAAATTATATTTCATTTCTATTACAAAACTTGAAGTTTCATGACGCAACGTAACATCAAAATACGAACATGAGAAAAATAGAAAGTTTTGATAAAAGATTGAATGAGTGTAAGTTTCAAGAAAGGTTGAAAATAGAGCAAACATTTGAACATCATATTTCATTTAAAAGGAAAAGAAAGATATTGTGGCAGAACAAAAAAATGCAATAAATATGTTCTGTCAGTTGAACAAGAAAAGTAATTTTTCTATTTTTACATTTTTTCATTTAAAGCTGTTTTTCTCTCCTTTCATCACCATCGCTACTGAAGCCATATTTTATGTTCTCCCACAAAGTGCACCGAAGCATCCGCAAATGTGAAATTTCCTTTCTTTCATTTTTTTTTTTTTTTCTGTTGCTTTTTCAGTTAGTTTTTGAATATGAAACACCTGACGTTTTTCTTTTTTTTTATTTATTTTATGTTAGTTTTTCGGCATCACCCTTGCACCTCATCTGTGATAACAGAGTGCCATTAATTTTCAGCAAGATCTGACTAGTGCATTGCAAATGCTTGAAATATATTTTCGGTAGCGTAAAGCTGTTGACACGATTATTTCCACCCCCCTCTTTCAAGTAAACATATTTTGGGGTTGTATCAAGTGGTATTTATTATTTGTTTGCAACACGTTGCTTTTATGAATGCATTTATAAAGTGGATGTTCGTTTTATGCAGATACAAATACATATTCTGTCTTTATTAATGTCACTTATAATGTGTTTAAATTTGAGTATGAATGCTTGCTTATACGTTTGTTTTTTCGTGGGAGAGAATAAAACGACATAGAAGAGAAGTATATTAAGCTTGAAACATACAGATGTTAAGACCTTAATGCATTTAGAATTGCCGATGTTTTCAACACTTGAACATGTGTAATATGTGTGTTCAAATTGTGATGACACGTCAGCAAGCATCTTTCTTGTCAACTTTGTGTTGAAAGAGAGAAAAGTAAAGTTAAACACTAACGAAATATCGCGCAACGAACGCAAAAGATTAATTATCTTTGGGATTTAATGAAATTGTTTTGAAAGAAACATGAAAAGTAGATAAAATAATTTCGACAAGATTTTCAGAGGATTTTAAAATTTTTTTCTTTCTTTTTTTGCTTGTTAAAAATGTAAACAAATTCATTCAATTTGATTTCCATAGAAAATATCCACTTAACAAAGTTATTTTGGTTGTTGAAAAGTTCTAAGAAAAAGTAATGAAAGTAATCGCTCAATAACAAGGAATGTAAAATTTGAAGCTGCTTTTCTACTACATTATTTTATTACTTTCCTTGTTTTTCATTAACATAATTTGACAACATCATTAGCATAAAAATTCATTCATTCATTCACTTATATTAAATAATCTATGAAGAATTTTCGACAAAAACTTTTAAAAGACGTTTGGAATTATAATATATTTAAGTATTCAGATATGAGAATTCATTTTAATTCCATTGACCTTGTTTGATATTTGTGATCTGATTATTTGGAATAAAAATTCCTTCATACAGTAGAATTTGCTAAATAAAATGAAATTCAAACATAAAAGAAACTTGAAGCTGAACAATAAGAAAATTGAGGGTGGGTGGTGGAATAAGAAAAAGAAGATAAGATGTGAATCACAATTTCATTAAAATATTTGACATTAAAGATATTAATAAATTTATTCACAACGTCGTTATCTACCACAATTTATCTTACACATATTTTTAACATAAATATGTAGCACACATGTGAATATGTATGTACTACCTACCTAAGTAGAAATATATCAAAATTCTCCTGGTAAGTATTTATGTTTCAAAAAGAAAAAAAACACATTCCACGATAAGATTTAAAAAATGATTTATGAAACTGTTTCCATTACGTTTTTTCCTTTCTCATTGCCAATGCCCCGACAAGGCTATAACAACTTATTTAAAAAGTTTATTTCGCGGCGAAAATTGCGTAGCGATGTTTCTGTCTAATTCATTTTGATTGTATCCAAAATCAAGAATTTTTCTCGTTTTTATTTATTTCTCACCGAGACGAAAAATTTCCCTGCACATGATGTATTTTCATCATATTGATATCATTTTTCTTTTTACAAGTCATTTTTCATTTTATTTACATTGCGCAAGAAAACCAATTTATTTATTTGAGCAGAAATACTTAGCAAGTACAAAAAACTTTCTTTTTTTACTTCTTTTTCATCGCAAAGTAAAAGTTTTAAAAACATTAAAACGAAAAGATGGTAAAAGTAAGAGAGAAAGAGAGAGAGAGTGAGAAAAAATGTTGCGAAATATTTCCCAACTTATATTTAACATTCGTAAAAGAAAAGCAGATTTTCAAGCTTAAACATTTTGATTGATGAATAGCGGCGCCATTTGAATTTGGTTTTTGTTTGTGTGGGGGAGTATTTTTTTGTTTCACAAATGTTCTCCATCATTTCTATGTTCCAATCCTTTTAAGCAATGAATTTGCTTGAAGTGATGAAAGCATTTGTGCTTTAATTGATGTTTCACAAGAAATCCTTTCTGCTAAGTTCAGGTGTTCAACTTTAGCATCTTACAAGATTTGTACCAAAACCTTTTTCCATATAATCCTTTTCCACTTCTGTAAAACAGCATTAGTCGTCTTGTTATGTCGCAATTTCATTTCGAAACCAAATGATACAAAAACTCGTCGACATTTCACCCAATTTACTCAACAAAAATCATTTACAGAAAATACTTTAAAAATCGACCTTTTGCGGTTTAAGCATCCTTAATTCGCTTTTCTTTTTTTTCCCTCAATTTCTCACGAAAACTTTTCTCCACATTTTAATCGTTTCAGATCGTAAATGTTTTCATAAAGTGTCAATGAAGAGATCCTCAAAAAAAAAGGAGGAAAACTGGTAACAATAAAAAAATCTTTTTAATGGGCATACACACTGGGCAATAAAGTGCTGTGGCTAAATAAACATGGTGTGCGTAAATGATGCGTATTTGCTCTCTAACTCACCCTCAAAATAAGCAGATACATATATAAATTTTTTTTCTCTTTCCGAATGGCAGTGATAAGGATGAAGCCGAAAAATGTTTGGAAATAAAAGCGAGACCTGCGGTGAAATATATGAAACCTTTTCTCTTGCTGAAAAAATTAGCAATAAAAAAGAAAGAAAACCTTCCTTCCAGCTCTATTTTAATTCAGCAATTCTGCATGGAGTAAGTAAAACTGAAATAATTTGATGATAAAATGTTTTTTTTTTCGAGGGTTAGTGTTGGATTAGAGTATTTTAATTTTGTTTTTTATGCCATACGATGGTTGCCATTGTTGAAAATAAATTCATGCCTCGAAGAGAAGTTATGTAACAATAATGGGTAGTTTTTCATGCCTTCACGTTTTATGATAATCGATTCGATTCAATATTTGTTTGTAGATATTCCTAACAATTACAAAAGCATTTTAGTTTGTCGGTTCCTTTTAGTTCCTGTTAAACATTAGTTATTGCTGCAGGTGAATTAATAAAACTTTCTACAATTTAGAATATATTTGAGAGAGTTTCTTTGAAATCTTTTGTTTTGTGAGTTTTAAGATTCATAAAATTAAAGTCATTTCTTTATAACTTCTTGATGAACTTTTCTTTACAAAGAGAAAGAAAATCTTTTATTTTGAGCATTAAAAAGCATGATTGATTGAATGAAACTTTTATGCTCTCAAATGCTATTGAATTTCTTTAAGCAAAAATAAACTTTGTTGTTAGTGACTTTTATGTTTTTTTTTATATAATAAGTAGATATTGAGAAAGATTTCCATCTTATTTTCTTTTTCCTTTTGTTTAATCGAAAACAGATTTCAATTCAACCAAAGATTAACAATGAAAGCTTCCCACAAAGTATCCAAAAACACCCAACTCGTAAACTGTCCTCACTTTATTTTCAATGATCCGAATTCGATAATATGTTTCTGTTTCTTGCAATTGTTTTTGTAAGCGTTCTTGCAATAATATAAACGATTGAATATTTCTGACAACTTTGGTTTTTTCTTTCCTTCCCTAGGCTCTAAGTGTAATACGCACGAGAGAACGTGATCTGATTATTTTACATCATTGAGTGCGATTAAACCAGATGAAACAATGGAATTAGATTGTAAAGATATTAAAGTTTCCGATTTCATTTTGCCCACCAACCTAAACTTTCTCTCTGTTCATTTTTCTTTCTCACTTTTCCTTCTCTTTTTAACGCTTGTTATTAATGAATACGATCCCTGTACACTTGCGGCATTTTTAATAGAAAGCTCTGCTTTTGTTTTCTTGTTTTTCTTCTCTCTTTCCCTCTTCTTCATTCATTCTAACAATGTTGAAGTGAGACGTTGTGTTGTTGCTGCTGTTGTAATGACTTAAATAATAAAAAAAATTGAAACTGTTCTTTAAAGTTTAACACAACCGAGAATAAACTCGTTTTATAATGACCTTAGTAACAGCAAATGAAAAATGTTCTTCGCCAATGTAGTCGGCAGAATGAAAGCAAAATGTGAGTAAGAGAGAGAAAAGAAAAACTGGGGATGAACTGAAAATTTGTTTCAAATTGCTTTAAGATTAATGATAGGGTTTTATTGTTCTTTCCCATATCTTGAACCATTATAAAGATTGCTGTTTATATATCAAAATACCCTTGGGGAATAGCTTTCGATTGGGGATTTAGTATAGGTAAATGATCTCAACAAATAAAAGGATTGTGAAGTGTGTAGAGTGCAATCACTTTACTTGACAATGAGTGACAGATCCCAACACATTTCTCACGGCAAACTAAGATTGGACAAGAGAGATTAGAGTTTTTCGGGGTTGGATATTGCAGAGTGTTCTCCATCTCACTTCCAGAAGCGGCATGAGTGAGTTCATTATGTGAATGTTAGAAGAGTTTTCGTGTGTTTTGGTAAATATGAAGCCTGTTTTCATATACGGAATCATTATCGAGTGTTCCCAATCAAGGTTTTGTTAGAAACTTCTATTGTCACTTGGATGAACTCTCAGCAACGTCGCTTGAAATTGGTCGAAGCATCGATTGTTGTTTTGTTTGTTATTGAAAAGACTTTAACTTCATTTCAAACAATAGAGTAAGTTGAAACTCTCTTAACAGAAAGTTCTACATTGATTTACGCTTTTAGAGTAAACATCACTGAATATAGAAATAGCAGCAGAAGCAGCCGCTTGAAAGTTACCTCAAATTCAGTTGAATTCACACAAACGAAAAGGCAACTGTGACCTAACTCAAATGAAAAAGAATCTTTGGAAGCGAAGAAATGGATCTTTAATTATTTTGCTTTTTCCCGATGTCATTCGAATCCACTCGAACAGAGCTTCGAAGATCGATAACACTGACAAAACATTCTTAGGCCCATATTTTCCATTTTTGTCTTCTGAACTTTCTCCTTCCGCTCGCTTCTTGTTCGTTCAGTTTGCAAAGAGAGATAAATAAATTTATTGCTTCATAAATAAAGTGAAAGCAGCCACACAAACGTATTCGCATCATAATCTCATTATCGGACATTTTTGCTTCCTTTCCTGTTTTCTGATTTCCACCCCCACAAAACTTTTTCTCATACAAGTTTTTCTTGTTTTCATTGCGTTTCAATTGTAACTCGTTGATGCATGGCATGGTATTAAATTTTTATATCCCATCCACAATGGTTCTAATTCTCGTCGTTGTCTTTATGTATCGCTAACAGCATTCGATACAATAAACAATAGAAAGAGAATCGCGAAGCTTTCATTGGATTCAGGACTTGCAAATCGTTTAGAAATCTTCGATAATCGAAATTCAAAATAATTTCAGACTCCTGAAGCACTGGAAATGACAATTTTTGCAACAAATCATGATACAATAAAAGATGAATTTGATTCAATGACGCTGGTTATTACATTTTCGAGCTTGAATAATTTTAAAAACGGTGTCGAGACGACCTCTCTCCAATATTCATTATTTTTCTTTTTTATATTGCTAATAATTCTTATTTGATGGAAACACGAATGAAAGTTGATTTTCAATTGTTCGAAGGCATTGAATCTTGTTGTTGTGATTGTGATAAAACATCAGTAGTATCGTCAATATCAGCGAATGAAGTCAAAATGAAAAACAGCAGCAAAGAATGAAGAGAAAAATTTGCTGATTACGAATCGAAGTAAAAATTGAATGAATAAACATAAAGACGATTGTGTTCGCTTGTTTAATGAATTATAAAATAAATATCTGAATACGACATTTCATTCTTCTTCATCATATTGCGAGAAAGTGAGAGAAGCATAGTCAAGGGAATTGGAAAAACAAGAAGCACGGAAAAGCGATGAATAATCGAAGGAGAATTCTTTGTTGATTCGGTTGATCGTCATCTCGTTTTGAATCTCACATTAAATCGAAAGCTGAATGAACATTCAAATTCAACAAGATTTCTCCCTCGACTGTTGTCGAAGACGAGGCTGTTGAGATTATGGCGAAATAAAAGTCAATTGCAGCGACCTAAAGAAGTCCCAATAAATGTATTTATTGATGTTTAAAATTTCACAAATAATGCACATTATGTGAGCCTTGGAAAATCTTGAAACGATTTCCAACTTTTCATTTGAAGTTTTGAAGTGTGAAAAATAATTCTATAAACGGTCAATAAAGAAGTTTTAAAGCAAGAAAAACCGCTTCAAACAAACGATTTGAGAATTGTCTGAAAAGTTTGACGAATTTCATTTGTAGCAAGACAGAAAATTTTATTGTTGACTTCGAAGACTTTAACGGTTGAAAGTCACTTTCATCTTTTTTCAGGTTCTGCTGGCAAAAGATTTATTAAGTAAATCAAGCATATTTGTCTGAATCCTTTGAAAGATGAATTTGATGACCCAAATTTTTAATTTTTTACCTTTTCTTATTTGTTTGACTCAAGAAATCTGACTTATTTTAAACACAAAAATCTTTCCTTTTTCATTCCATCTGACGTCAATAAATAATGAGATAAAGTATCGCGAACAATGAAGCAAAGCAACAAAATCAATGAATTTAAAGAAGAAAAAGATTTTCTTTGTTATTGACCTAAAATGTTCTTGTTTGCAACAATCACTGGAATTTCCATTCAAGCATCATAGAAAGAAACACAAATAATTGAAGAAGAAACATTGAAGCTTTAAATTATTGAAGAACAATGTGAAGAGAGTGGGTGGGTGAATGTTAAAAGCATGATCAAAACATGAAAATCTAGAGATGAAGACGTCAAACAACATTCCATGTCATGTTTATTGTTTGGCTCTTTCTCGAACATCATAAATATGAATTTCATACATTTTTGATCGACTCGTAGTTGTAAACGTTAGATAAGAAGAGAATGATGACGAGAAAGATGACGATGAAGTGGAGAAAAGGACACGATGCCACATTTAATACTTTTTGATCGAGTCGACTGAAAAATTGTGCTATCAAAGCACTTCATAAAATAAAAATCTCAGTAGGGAACGAAATTGGATCGCAAAATATGCTTGGGCATGCTGAATGAAGGTTGTTGTTGTTGTGTTTATGTGTACACAATTCAGAATGCTTTTCACTCACTCTCTTCATCTTTATCTTCATTTTCCGATGAATCTCAAGGTGGAACGGGCCTTGGAAAATCGGAAAATGTGTGGCATAAAAGCAATCCATGTAATATTGACAACAATTTTGAATGTGAACGAGAATAAAGTGAACCGAAACCGACATGTAATTGAGCAGAAATTGTGAAAGACGGAGAAATCTGACATGAAAGAAAGAAAAGGCCTATCAAGAGAATTGGGAAGAAAAGGAACTTAGAGTTATCAAAAAACCATTCAATATGTAGTGATGTGGGGGTGGCAAAAGTAGACAAAGTGCGGTCGGTCATTTCTAAGAAGTAAAAGAAATTCTTTCTTTAGAAAATCTCTCTCAAGTCTCAAACACATCGAAACTTGTTCCCCAAAGAGATGACGACGATGTGAGAAGAGCAGCATGAAATCAAAACTAATATAAAGTACCGGAAAATTATCAAGAATGACTGAGAATTATTCATTTTCATCTTGCCACATTAAGTCGGTTGGGCAAGTGGAGAACGAAGAGGCGAATGGGATCAGAACAAGGCGAATATTAAATTCTTCCAAGTGAACAAAATTTAATGGCTCAAGAAATGAATTTTCCAAGCCATCATATTTAGGGTCGGCTTGTGATTCTGTTTGATCTACGCGTCAGGTCTTTTTGTGACACTCAAACAACGTCCATGGACTGTGGGGGAAACTTCCATCGAAATAAAATGCTTGAAATTTTCATCAACTACGTACGCTAAATGGAAGAAAGAAATCTCTACTTTTGTCAGCAAATTTGCTGCCTTTTATGCTGCGAATATTGAATTATGGTTACACAAACCACTACCGACAGTTACAGCAACAGTAACAGCAAAGGCAAAAGCAAAGGCAAGGTAAGGTAGAAACTTTGTTCTTTATTTATTTTTTCATAAATTGAATTTCTCCCTTTCAAAAAGCACGAAACTTCTTTGGGGATTTTCAGAGTTAAACCAGAAGTTTTCCATTTCTTCAGCAGGTTTTTTTATTTACATTATCTGACTGAAAATAAAATAAAAAATAAAGTAGAAACCAGAAAAAGATGGAAAACTTTGTCTTTTTTCTCCCTTTTAGATGATAGAATAAAATCGATGGAATGAATCGACGTTCAAAGGCAACATACGAGTCGGAAGAGGGCGGAAAACTTAAAACAAAAAATAAATAAGAAATTTAACCGAGATCGAATATTTATTGATGACAGTTTCATCGACGCAGTTCAGCCTTGGATTTTTTTTGTAACCGGGATTTGGTTGCTTTTCCTGCTTCTTCATGCTAAAGGGTTTGGAAAATGTTTTTCTTTCCCTTGAGTAAGTAAGCAAGCGAACGAGTTGTGTGAACGAAGCAAAAAACATAACAAAACGAAATGGAAAACTTTTCAAACTCCTAATTAATTCTATTTTCCCACTTCTGCTCAACTAAACTTATTAAAATGCTTTTTTGCTTACGCCAAATATTTCGCCTTAGATTTTTCTTCACTTTACTTTCCTTTTTCTTCTGATTTCGGCCACAAATAAAATCTTTGGGCGTTCAATTGATGGCTTGGTCGATGAGTGAAACTCTCGGAATGAACGGCTGGAAAAAAGTTTTCCTTTTTCCGCTTTCCGCCCTAAACAGAGAGTCGAAAGGATTTCGTCTGATTGCCGAGTCACCAGACTGTTTTATCGCTGCTCGCTTTGAGCTTTTAAACATTGCTTTGATAGTTGAGAAAGCAGCAATAACCGTAAATATTATTTAACGAGCGAATAAGAAAATTATTTTTCTTCTTTCTGTCTTCACACTACAAAGAGACTTCATTGGAATCTCGTGAAATAATTTCGCTTTGTCCTCGTTTTAAGTACATTTTACCATGGAAAGCGGAAATTTCCTCAACACTTTTCGTTGATTTATGTTGAAGGAAAATTTTTTACTGTCGCGAACGCCATTTAAACTTTCTTCCCAAGAACCCCAAATTTATTTAGCGACTTCGTGAGCGTTTGCTTTAAAAGCTGCTACTATTTTGCTGCTGCTGCTGCTGCTGTTCGTGCTGAAAACAAACTCATCTTCAAATCATAACAAAAATCAATAATGCCACAAATGTTTCTCATCTTGCTGATTCGAAACTTTTTCCCTTTTCTCCTCCACCATCATTCATCTTTCTTCGCACTCAATCTCTAATCGTTATCAAATGAAATAGGTGAAAGAGTCATAAAGTTGAGCCGGTGCCAAAAAATGTTGCTTATAAAAGTGACATTAAAAATTAAACAGCTCCTTGAGTGTCGTAAGCACTGCCGAAAGAAAAACATAATTTATCGCCATAAAAATTTATATTGTCAAAATATATGATCCATTGAGACAATGCAGCACCAGTAGCAGTAGCAACAGCAGTAAAGTTGTTGAAGAAGGAAAAACGAAAAGTAAAAGTGTCGACACCAAAGCAGAAGAAAAAGACATGACAACAAACAGCCAAAGCACCAGCAGGCGAAATTTTCTCAAATGAATCCACAAAAGGTGTAAAAACTTTATCAACTCGTTTTGGATGTAAAATATGGAAAATTGGGTTCTTTCGATGTCGTAAACTGCAACTTTTCTTGATGCTTGCTCCCTTAGTTCCACTTAAATATATTTTTCGATACAACAACCGACAAACAGATTGTCAGCTCGGATGAATCGAGAAATGAAGTCGAGTCAAGGGCCATAAATAAATATTTTGAGAGTTGATAAAGAAATCTTCTCCATCTTTGTTTTTTCTTTTTCTAGCTCAAGTTCATGAATGATGAAAGGCAGTTGAAGAGTAAAGTGGAGGAAGTGAATGAGAAGGGAGATAAAGGATGGAAAGACGGGGGATTGTTGTTAAACGCTATTCAAGTGAATGATCACTCAGTCGGGTTCTTTAAGGTTATAAATGTTTTGGAATAAATCTTTCTTGCCATGTGTGCGGGAAAAGGCAAAAAAGGAGTTTCTTGGTTTTTGGCTCAATTGGAACAATTCACAGAAATAAATTTCGACCCTGAATCGTTTGTCAAGAGTGTTACGAAAATTCACTTACGTTCTGTAAATACTACGATCTCTTGCAGAGCTTTAAAGCGTTTGTGATATATATAAAGCTTCATATTGTAACATGATTTACACACAAACCCCCAAAATTGTTCAAAATTGAGTAAAATTTATTTATTTTCGCTTCTTTGGCTTTTCTCTTGTTGTTCCATTTGATAAAGCGAGGAAATTTCTCGCATTTAATAACAAGTGGCGCTTATTTCACAGTCAAATCTGGTCTGAGTAGCAAGGGTCGTTTCCCTTTCTCCCTTTTTCTGCAGAATTGCGCTGCATTCTGTTGTGTGAAATATTATTAATCACCAAAGAATATTTACACAAACACACACATAAAAAGAAGTAATTTGAAAAGAATTTCAAGATAGTGTGAAGTTCATTATTAAGTTTTCGCTTTCGCCATTACTGCTGAATTCGCTCAGATTCTTGAAGTTGCAGCAAACACTTGAGATTTCGCAACGTGGGGCATCTCTGAATAAAATATGACTTTCATTTGCTTTTTATTAAACAGTTTAGAATTATGAGAACTTTTTCGTAAGACAACGTTGAACGAGTCAGAGTGGGAAATAACTTTAATGTAGAAGGGCATTCTCATAATAACAGCAGCAGACTTGCTGATGATTTGCCATCACAAACTTTTCGCATTTACAAGTTGATGGTGTACCGTGATTTGATGTTAGAACAGAATGAAAGAAATTCATCAGAAATTAAATATCTTTGTATTCGACAGGAAGTCAGATAATCGTTGTCATATTTAAGAGAGGTAAATTAATTTTCATTTCATTTGAAAGTTAAAACAGCGTCAGAAAATTCATATAAGGAGAAATTTCTTAAATGTTCAATGGCGGAAAAAATGCAAGCTGGATTTTAACGCATCGTTTATTAACAACGAATGTTGAAATTACAGCTCAAATCTATCAACTTCATCTAACCATCGCTACTGCAATACATAAAATATTCAAAGCTGAAATTAAGTTTTAAAAGTTCAACATTTAACACGAAAATAGCGGAAAAATTTAAGACTTCACCCCCTCTAAAGTTTGTCGAGGAAGGAATAAAAATATTTGGTAAAGTTTTCTTTTCCCCACTTCCGCTTTCACTTTAAATACGACGACATCGTTCAAAGGCGAAGTTTATACGATTTAATCAATTAATTTACATCAAAAAATACTTTGCACTTTGCTTGCAATTAGAAGATAAATTAGGACAAGGTAAGGAAAGGTGAAATGGCACGTAAGCAGACAAGCAAGCAGCAGGTAAGTTGATAGAATGTTGAAAATGTTAATTGCATGATAAAATATTCGAGTCAAAGGCGTCAATGTGTAGCACTTTGATAGAAATTCCACGTTGAATTCCAATTAACATCAACGAATGTATGCGGCATCGCGTCTTCCTTACGTTAGGTTTGTTTCTAACAAGCGTAACATTCTTCAACAAAACTGTTAAATGACATGACACCAAACGATCACAAGGATGTTGACACAATCAAATTGACACACGAAAAAGTGTCTCGCATCTATCATAGACCTAAATTGTGTGACGATTCCTTCATTCATCTTAAATCTTTCCACTTTGGTGTGGCGAGAGTTAATTGAATAGGAAATAATTAAATTTCTAATTAAAATTGTTTTTCAAAGAAATTTTGATTTTCACTTAAAATTTTCATTTGAACCAAATTGCTTTCTCGCACTTCGTATCTTCTTCATTTCGTTGAGTGATGTTTACTCAAAACTTCGAGATATTCAAAACAAATTCGTTAATTAAATTTCGTTTGCCATGATTCACTTGGAGAATTGTTGATGCGAACTAAGCAAACATCTCATCGTCGCTGTCGATCTCACACTTACCTTGCGAGTTCTTAAGTATTACTTTCAAGTGTAAAAGTGAAAATCTCTCATTTAACACAAAAGAAAACATCGATAGATACTTGAATGCCTTGAGGAAAACAATGTTCACTTCCAGCTTCAATGATCTGAACGGCAGAAAAGCAATTATTGAAAATCACATTGCCAATAAAATTTATTTTCAAAAAATGTGTCCCATTTAAATAGTCAACAACGTGGCATCCAGGTGCATGTGCAGTTCAACAAAGAGGTAAAAATACAATTTTGCGATTAGTGAAAGATTAGAAGTTTTCGAATTCAGTGACATTAGGAACGAAACGGAAAATTCAAGATGTACGTTGATGGTTTCCAACAAAGCATGGAACATGGCATTGAAAAGATTCACTTCACATTATCGTAATGACCCCAACATATATCCATAACTTCATCTTCTTACAAAAAAAAGAAAGGAGACAGAAAAACAATTTCGAACCTGAACAGAATCTCTCTCGTAATCCCCTACAAAACTGGTGAAGGACAACAGGTCTTTAGGAAGACGAATGAAGGTATCGTCAACTAGAACCAGCACATCTTCCTGTTCTTTGTGTATCTAAAATAATTTATAGTTGTTATCCAACTTCTTTCTTCCTTTTTGCATTCCATTCGTTACTGAATATTAAATGTTGAATGTAGTTGACATCAACGATGGATTTTTTGTGCAATTCGAAATTGAGTGATGCTCAAAAGGAATTTTGAAAGCACAAGATTGAACGATGATGAATTTCAATTGAAACAGATCGTGAAAAAATCAATCGTTTGAAAAGAGAACTTCTGATGCTTGCATGATTTTAGTGAAAGGAATATAAAGGAGAAGATTTATTATCCAAAGGAAATGATTATAGTTGAACAACTTTTTTTATTATTCAGGCTTAAAAACTTCAATTGCCTTTCATTATTATAAATTCAGTAGAAAGTTTCGAGCATCTTAATCTCAGCAAAGCACTCAATTCGACTATTACCACGATCCGGCAGTCCAATTTCACTCTTCATGATTTCAAGTCAATTAAAGGATTACGTTGGTAAAGAAAATTAAATTAGTTTCAACTGCTTGTTCGACCGAAAAGCATTCTTAAGTCTCATTCTTGAAGATTTTCTTATACTGCTTAAATAGTGAGTGTGAGTGTTTGTAAAAACCAAAATATATAATGTGGATTTTGGGTTGATCAAGGATTAAAAAGGCCTTTGGGTTAAATGATTCGTAACAGAGAAAATTGGTTGATTTCTTGATGTAATAAAGTCTCTTGGTGCGAGAACATTGATTTTCATTCTTCTAGGGAAAAGCATAATGTAGCCAGCAATAAATAAATTCAATGGAAGCTTTAAAAAGCTGACTTGTTAATTGGAAGATTTCACAAAAATTAAGAGAACTGGTAATGTTTCCAGAGAGAAATATTCAACATTTTTTCATTCCATACTAAAAAATGCAAAAAGATAAAATCTTACTGAATTAAGACCACACAAAAAGAATTAATGTATTATCAACACAGTCTCATAAATAGTAAAGATTTAATACTTATTAAAAAGCTCTTTAAAATTATTAAGAATTCTTTGTTGTATTAATTTTCCTAATTTTACGAGGTTTTTTTGCATGAAGAAAAATGAATTTAATCCTAGCGGTTTAATTCCAGGAGACCACAGTAAGTTGTTTTGACATAAACCCTTAAAAGCTCTTAATCCAATTTAAAAAGGCTTTAGAAATTTGTTGAAATCTCTTACAGTGCAAACAACTCGTCGTTCGTCGCTTGAACGTCACAAAAAAATGACAGAAAAATAATAAATCGCAGAAGGATTTTCCTTCGTTTAGTCTGTTGGGCTGATGCTTACATGAAAGAAATTTCAGTCAGAGTAAGAATAAAAGAAAGAAATAAATGATAACATCTCGTTAAGTGAACTTAACAGTTTAAACATTTACAATTAAATTTATTCTTGAGATTTGAAGTGATTTGTTAAGATTTTTAATTAAAATCTGAAGAAAGAGAATTATTAAATT